CAGTCTCCTAGAATTTGGTGACCTTCCCCAATGGCTCTCTTTCTTTGGGGCCGTTGGAGGCAAAGAGAGATATAATGAGGAAGCCGCTGGGTGGCATGGTTGGGGGCCCCCGGGCCCGATGTTTTCTCCTTTCCATTGGGGTCCCCTGTATTAAACTCAGATCTTGGGGAGGCTGGAGCGGCTGAGCACACTGGAAGGACATATGATGGTGGATCCGATGACTCAGATTCTGAGGTGTAGTGGACCTTAAATTTCTTTTCTTTTACTTTGCCATTAACCAAAATGGCTGTATGCCTCTGGGGGGCATGAAAATGGAGACAGTCAGGAGGTGAGTGGCCAGGATATACCAGTGTCATGTAAGGAAATTGGTCTGGATGGCCTGGGTCCCCTACGACTTTGTTGCTGATGTGGGGGATAATAGCCAAGTCTATAGTGCCCTCTGCTGGCCATCCTGAGTCATAGGCAGGCCATTTTAATTTACAGAATCTCCAAAGTTTGGCTGGTTTGTTTTAACCCCATAGTTACCAAAAAAGCATTTCCTAAAGTTAGCAAGCATAGTCTGGAGCACCGTTGGGCACTTTGACCCAGAGGAGCCCATTTTATATGTACCTGACAGTGGCCAGTGTCTCAAGACAGACAAGGGAGGGGTGTCCCTCAGCGAGGGGCCACACAGATGCTCACCTGGCTGCAACTCCAGACAATGGAGCCGTGTGTGACTTAGCTAGAGTAGGTTCAGCCCAACAGGGTGACTTATGATTGGACGCTAGTCCAATCCCACCATAGACCATATGTCAATCACCGTGAAATTGCAGGTGAGCCCATTCAGACTCCATAGCCTTCAGGGGACCTCAGAGGTGCCCAGCCGTGGAGCTACAGATTTGAGCTTGAAATGCAAGTGAGTCAAGCCGCTTATTCACACACCATTCATTCAGAGTTTAAAACAATCAGTCCCTATTTATTTCCCCTAAAATCCTGGCTAGCCTTAAACCCAGTTGGCCAAAATCACATTGGCCCCAGCTGACTGGAATCACATGAGTCTCAGAGTAAGGAGACACATCACCCTGGAATCACATCAGGGCTCAGCCGGTCCCCTGTGGGGATCGGTCCACACGGCTCCTATACTGATTACCCCAGGGGTTCCTACCTAGTCCAGACGTCTGTTGCAGGTCTCTGTTTCACTCCACCAGTCCGAGGGCCTGGTCCTTAGCTCTGCAGCCTCCTTCAGTCGTCCGGAAGGAGACCCTGGAATCACATCAGGGATGCACACTTCCTGGTTCCAGGAACCTCCATAGGCTACAGGACCAGGGAGCAGTGGCCCACTGTCCAATGGGGCATGGTGGGCTGGGGCCTCCGAAATGTTGCAAGAAAGGTACAGAAAGTATGACTGACCAGCGAGAATAAGACTCACACCCAGGTGGTTGGAGGAAAGGAAGGTTTATTACATTAGCAGGCCAGCACCTGGATATCTCCAAAATGGCGCCGGCCCTGAGCTCAGGGTGGTTGAGGTTTTTATACTGAGAAAAGCAGCAGCAAGCAATTGGGAATGCAGAAGCAGACTTGGCAGTTAGCTGTTCAAGGTTACACTACAGCATGTCAGCACAGCTGTGGACAAAGGCCTTCCACAGTTTGTAATGAGATAGCTGGATGCAGGGGCCCCAGATAAGGGAAGGCTTTATTTGTCTTTGGTTCTTTTCCCAGCTTTGATCTTTTTCTGGGTTTTCTTATCAACAGTTTCTGATAGCCTTTACATTGTACATTGTTTAGATTGCCCCCACCATCTCCCTCAACCCCCTCCCAAAGGTTTCATGGTTCTATTTCTTTTATGTATATGAAACCTATCAACCATATTCTCTCACCTTCATCTCCTCCCTTCACCCTCCCCATACTACAAGTATTCCCCCCACAGTATCTGTTTTATGGTCCTGTCTTTCATTTTTAATTTCAAAGTCAGTGTTCAAAGGGATTTCTCAATGTATCCCAGTTGTGAATGTACTGTGCTTGGGCCAGTTCAACCCATTACTCTCCCTCACCTTTTCCCTCCAATCCCCTATGATTCAATAGCTTTCAGTACATATCCTACCTGCACATCTACCTGCACAGATGTAATGCATTTGATACTGTTGATGCTCATCCTTCTCTTTTCCTTTCCCTCCTCCCAAGTTCCTAGGGAAGTTGCACCGTTACAAATATGTTCTACATATAAATGTGTATGTGATCGTGTTTGTTTTTGTGTATACGTTTATCTTTTGGAACTATCTTCCACATATGAGAGAAAACATGTGGTCTTTGTTTTTCAGAACCTGTATTACTTAACATTTTTTTTTTACCATTCATTTACCTGAAAGGGACATCATTTCATTCTTTCATTCTTCCTTATGACTGAATAAAGTGCCATTGTGTACATATACCACATTTTTAAAATCCATTCCTCAGTTGTAGGGCATCTGGGCTATTTCCATAGCTTGGCTATTGTGCTGCAATAAACATTGATGTGCAAGTGTCTCTATCCTGATTTGTATTCCTTCTGGAATATACCCAGGAGTGCTATCACTGGATCATATGGCAGTTCTATTTCTAGTTTTTTAAGGAATTGCCATACTGCTTTCCATAATGGTTGTACTAATTTACATTCTCACCAACAGTGTATAAGGGTTCCTGCTTTACCCCATCCTCACCAACTTTTGTTGTGTTCTTGAAGAGAGCAATTCTAACTGGGGTGAGATGATATCTTAGTGTAGCTTTGATTTGCATTTCTTTTATAGTTAGGGAAGATGAGCACTTCTTCATGTATTTATTGGCCATTTGTGCCTCTTCCTTTGAAAATTCCCTATACACCTTTTGGCCAGAACCACCAATCTTCTAGTAATTCACCAAAATGACAAACATAACAGGAAAGAAGAGACGAACCAGATATATGTTTTCTAGGCATTTTAGGAAACATGAAGTTGTTCCTCTGGCCACATACATGTCAATCTACAACATGGGTCATATTGTAGATACCAAAGGAAAGGGTACTGTTCAAAAATGAATGCCCCACAAATGTTACCATAGCAAAACTGGAGGCATCTACAATGTTACCCAGCATGCTTTTGGCATTGTGAACAATCAAGTTAAGGGCAAGATTCTTGCCAAGAGATTAATGTGTATATTGAGCATATTAAGTACTCTAAGAGACAAGATAGCTTCCTAAAATGTGTGAAAGAAAATGATCAGAAAAAGAAGGAGACCAAAGAGAAAGGAACCTAGGTTCAACTGAAGAGCCAGACTGCTCTACCCATAGGAGCACACTTTGTGAGAACCAGTGGAAAGGAGCCTGAGCTGCTGGAACCTATTCTCTATGAATTCATAGGATAAAGGATGTAAAAAATAATGAAAGACTCTGGACTGTAAAAAAAAAAAAAAGATAAAATTCTCTATTTCTTCAATGGGTTGTTGATTCTTTGGAAGTTCAGTTTTTTGAGCTCCTTGTAGATTCTGGTTATTAGTCCGTTATCAGACAAAGATTTTCTCCCATTCTATAGGTAGTCCTTTAAGACTAGTTAGATTGTTTCTTTTGCTGTACAGAAGCTTTTTAGTTTGATGCAGTCTCATTTATTTGTCCCTTAATTGCTGTGCCATTGGAGTTCTATTTAGGAAATCATTGCCGTTAGTCCCAGTGTATTTCCTACTATTTCCTATAGTTGTTTTAAAGTTTCAGGCCTTATATTAAAGTTTTTGATCCATTTTGAGCTGATATTAGTACAGGGTGAAAGACAGGGATCTAGTTTCAGTCTTCTACATGTAGATATCCAGTTTTCCCAGGAACATTTGCTGAAGAGGCTGTCTTTTCTCCATCCGGTGTTCAGGGCTCCTTTGCCAAAAATCAGTTGACTGTAGCTGCATGGATTTATGTCTGGGTCTTTTCTTTTGTTCTGTTGGTCTTCTGTCTGTTTTGGGGCCAATACCATGCCGCTTTTATTGTTATGACTCTGTAGTATAGTTTGAAGTCAGGTATTATACTTTAATTGCTTTGGCTATTCAAGATCTTTTGTGTTTCCACATGAACTTTAGGGTTGATTTTTCTGTCTCTGTGAGGAGTGTCATTGGAATTTTGATGGGGATTGCATTGAACATGTAGATTGCTTTTGATACTATAGCCATTTTTACAATTTTTTTTTCCTAGGGCTTGAACTGAGGGCCTTCACCTTAAGCCACTCCACCAGTCCTATTTTTGTGAAGGGTTTTTCCAGATAGGGTCTGCGGAACTATTGGCCTGAGCTGGCTTCAAACCTCGATCCTCCTGATCTCTGCCTCCTGAGAGCTAGGATTACAGCCCTGAGCCAGTGTCTCACGAACTATTTGACCAGGCTGGCCTGGAACCACGATCCTTCTGATCGCAGTCTCCCAAATAGCTAGAATAACAGGCGAGAGCCACCGGCGCCCGGCATATTTTTCTTATTCTTTTACCATACTTTGTTTTAAAAAAAAATTTAATTAAAAAAAAATATATATATCCCAAAGGTCACTGTAAATATGTACTTGCCAATCATCCTCATGATTTATAAGGTTGCATGTTCACTGATAAACACTCCATGGTTTTCTCAACTCGCTGGAGCAAGCATTTGAGGTGTGGCAAATCGACAATCCACTTGCTGGAATCGGAGTAACATTTCAAGCGTGGCTCCAGCACGTGGACATTTTATTTTGAGCCACGGGAGGTGGGGAGGCCGAGGGCAGCAGTGGGAACACTGAGCTGTTCAACGATGCATCGCTGAAGCGCTCTCGCTCTTCAGTCTCCAGACAGTTAAGAAGAGCAAGTCGTCTCCACTGCCAGGTTGTAGGGTCTGGAGCTGCCACCCGCCAGGAACTAGGAGCCGCGGTGCAGCGGGCGGACACAAAGCCCAGGTACTAAAGCGGAGCGTGGGGGCGGAGCCTCAGCGTGCCCCGCCCGCGGAGGGGCGGGGTCACGGCGGGACGTCCGGGAAGGGGCGGGGCCGCGGCGGTGGCGCCAAATCGAGAATATGGCGCCGGAGCGACTACGGAGCCGAGCGCTCTCGGCTTTCAAGCTGCGCGGCTTGCTGCTCCGAGGGTGAGTCGGCCTGACGGTTTACCCCGCGGGAGGGGACGGCCGGTGTCGGGCTGCCACGCGGAGAAGTGGACAAGCCGCGGCTCCCCCACGCGCGGAGAGGGGGCGTGACCTTAACTGAGAAGCCAGGTCGCTCTGGCACGATCCTGAGGCTGCCGCCTTCCCAGGTTCCCGCGATGTCCGCGCGGAGTTTATTGTTAATTCCAGGTGGGGTCAGGCTCTCGGGTTTGGGCCAAACTGAGCCCGACCAGCCGCGAGCTGTCTCGTAGCAGTCATTTAGCCCCGTGTCCTCTCAGTTTGCCAGGTCTCTCCCTTGGTAGACATGATTTGGGAAGAATCCATGTACGTGTCAGTAGTTGCCAGTTTGTATTGCTGCGGAGATTGTGGGTCTCCCAACTCTCCCAGTTTTGGATTAGTAGTTACTTCCTGGAGAATTGAAAAGTGGGAGGCTGGGCGTGGTGGCCGCGCCTGTAATCCCAGCTACTAGGGTGGTGGAGATTTGGACGATGGTGGTTGAAGGTCAGCCCCAGCAAAAAGTTAAAGAGACCCCCACCTCAACAAATAAGCCAGGTGTGGTGGTACGTACTTGTAATCCCACCTACTCCAGAAGCATAGGTAGGAGAATCAGGGTGTGAGGCCAGCACCAGGCAAAAAGCAGGAGACAGAGAGACCCTATCTGAAAAATAACTAAAGCAAAAAGAGCTGGGAACATGGTTCAATTGGTAGAGTGCCTGCCTACCAAGGGCAAGGTCCTGAATCAAAACCCCAGAACTGCAAAAAAAAAAAAAAAAAAAGGTGGGTAGGTAGATTTTAAGGTTTCCCTCCTTTCTTACCTCCCTTCCTCTGTTTCTTCTTTCCTCCCTCCCTCCCTCAAAGTCAGGTTTCCTGGCCATATCTGTGACTTTTAAGACCTATACAATTACAGAATGAGCACCTCCAAAATTTTTTGTGCTAAATTGGTACCTCAGCTGAACGCTCCCTGACATTTTGCAAATGTGAGCAATTGATCTATTCACTTTCCTTTCACTTAGGATTTGGCCTAATGTTAAGCTATTGTTCATTAATTAACTTACAAACACAACTAAATCATTTTAGCTTCAAATCACTGTAGAGCTTTAAAGGGAGATGATAGTGTATTAGCTATCTATTGATGCATAACAAATTACCCTAAAACTTAGAGGCTAAAACAGTACACTTTTATTATCCTACATTTTCTGTGGGTTCAGGATCCAGGTATGACCTAGTCGGGTCCTCAGTTTCAGGGTCTCTCATAAGGATGCAGTCAAGATGGGGTCATCTCAAATACCAAACTGGGCAGGATTCTCTTCCAAGCTTATTCATTTGTCAGCGTTCACTTTCTGGTGGGTTGTTGAATGGAAGACCATGGTCCTTGCAGGCTGCATGGGCCTCCTCAGCATGGCAGGTGACTTCATTAGAGCCAGCAACAGAGGGAGTCTGCTAGCAAAACTGAGGTCTTTTAGAACCTAATGAAGGAAAGTGACATCTTGTTACTTTTAAATTTTACTCATTTTTTTATTTTTAGAGATGATAGGGATTGAACCCAGAGCCTCATACATACTAGGCAAGTACCCTACCACTGAGCTATATATACTCCTAGCCCTAAATTTAATCATTTTAGATGGAATCTCACTATGTTGCCCAGGCTGGCCTCAAACTTGAGATCCTCCTGCCCTAGCCTCTTGAGTAGCTGGGATTATAGGTGTGCACTATCACACCTAGCTCCAAAATTTTAGTTTTAAAACTATAGTAAATTATTCCATCCCTTTTGCTGCATTATTAGAAATAAGTCACTAGGTCTAGGGTATACTCAGGTGTGGGGAGGAATTGCACACAGATGTGAATCCCAAGAGGTGTGAATTATTAGGGGCCATTTTAGAAGTCTGTCTACCATGGATATGAAATACCTATTTCACAAGTTTTAACTTCATTTGTGAAAAGGATTCAAGGAAGGAAGTGCCATGAATATGTAAGACAAGGTGTTTAAAGTGCTCTGGAGTCAAGGAAGGGCTTCAGTGAAAAGTGGCTTGGGCTAATGTTAAAGGATGGACAGGACTTGACTAGGTGGAGGGAGGGTGGGAGAAAATAAAGACCCTAAGGAGAGAGCACCAGGAAGGTCAGAGACACTGGGTAAGCCTAATGAAGTATGGTAGGGGTCAGATGCTATATGACTTTACAGGCTAAGAGCTGGCACCCAAAACGTGTGTGGAAAAAAGGATGCAGATGGCAAATATTTATGGACCACCTTCAAGTATATATAATATTCTGTTAAAGGGTGACATAGGTTCAGATCTCAAGTTATCTATAGTAACCCACTTCCCAGTTATCTACAATAAATTGAAGAGGTGAGACCCCCACACAGAAGCTGTCTGTAACTAACTCAACATATAATCAGTGTGATGACTGTAATAATGTTGATGTAAAGTATAAGGTTGTGTGCTACAAATAAAGAATGGTGTGTAATTAGCTAATTGCTTAAATAGGCAGTACTTTTTCTGAGCATTATTGGTATTCGAATCAGGAATTCATGTGATTTTTTTGTTGGGACTGGGGTTTCAATCTTGCGCTAGCTAGGCAGGCGCTCTACCACTTCAGCCACTGCGCCAGCCCATGAATTCATGTGATTTTAACATGAGTGATTACATTCAAATATCAAAACCTAGTTTTTCTATTAAAAACCAGTGAAATTACTGGAATTTACTTTCAGCAAATACATTTTCACTTTTCTGGTTTTTTTTTTTTTTTGGCAGTACTGGGTTTGAACTTGGCCCCTGCTCCAAACATTTTTCAACTTAATAAATATATAAGTGTCTGCTATATTCAGGATGTGGCACCTGACACTGAGTCAGAAAAATTACTGCTGTAAATGTAAGGTGGTAAGCAGTGCTCAGTTCATGAGATGAGTCAAATACAAGATATATATATACATGTGATTTTTAACAATTTCAGAAGGAAGGGGAGATTGCAGCAGGTAAGGCTGGTGTAGCAAGGCTCTGTAGAAGAAGTATGTGACTTGGGGCTTTAAGAATAGTTATGTTGGTTAGCGGTGGATAGAGGATGGTTTTGCTTAGAAAGTGCAAGAAAGGTGAGTTGTATGGCTAGTGGAGTGGCTCAAGCAGTAAGAATGCCTGCTTAGCAAGCATAAGGCCTTGAGTTCAAACTCCAGTGCTGCCATAAATAAATAAATAAATAAATACATAAGAATCTAGTTTCAGGAAAGGCGAGTTCTGCTTGAAAGCAGGAGGCGGGTCTTAATTTCAATGCCATTGGTTAGTGCTACTTTTTGGCATAAAATTTTTAGCCTTTAATAACCATTGACATGCCTCATCATTTCTTTCCCTTCCTTTCCAGTGAAGCTATTAAGTACCTCACAGAAGCTCTTCAGTCTGTCAATGAGTTAGAGCTTGAAGATACGCTAGAAAAGATCATCGATGCAGTTGAAAAGCAGCCCTGTAAGTAACGCTTTCTGATAACTCTTGTTAGATTTATAGATTTAACTAGAAGTTGAGGGTTCATATTAAGATGTTCCAGTGGTAGTATTTCTTCCCAAAGGGTTAGTTCGGTTGTAACCTCAGAATGTTCCTCGGGAACTGTTATAGCTCCCTGTCTCCGTTGGAAGGTGTTATGGCCATCTACCCTGCACTTGACTCCTGGATTTGATCTGGTCCTCTTTGGTCACTGTCTTTCTACACGCCTGTTGATATGCCTTACTTAAGTTAGGTACTTCTAAATGTTTGGGGAAAAAGAGAAAAGTGAGCAGTGCTAACTTTCCCTTCTTGCTTTCTTCAGGAATTTTTTTTTTATTCATTTATTCACATGTGCATACATTGTTTGGGTTGTTTCTCCCCCCTGCCCCCCGCCCCCACCCTCTCCCTCTTCAGGAATTTTTTAAATACTTCACCTGACACCAGAAGCATGGGCCTACAAAGAAGAAATGCTTGGACTGGGGACATGGCTCAAGTGGTAGAGTACCTGAGTTCAAACCCCAGTACAGCAAAAAAAAAAGCCAAGAAGAAATGCTCTTCTTTTGGGGGAAAAAAAGATGTTCAGTGTTTCCAGTGCCTTAAAGGATAGAAGTGGATGTGGCTTACTCCTATTTTGAATAGATGCCAATATCTTCAAACATGTAGGAAGTAACATATTCCATGATACAACAGAAATATTTATTTATTTATTTTTTATCGTATTGGGGCTTGAAGTCAGGGCCTACTCCTTGAGCCACTCCACCAGCCCTTTTTTGTGAAAGGATTTTTTCGAGATAGGGTCTTATGAACTATTTGCCTAGTATAGCTTTGAACCTTGATTCTCCTGATCTCTGCCTCCTGAGTAGCTAGGATTACAGGCGTGAGCTACTGGTGTCCAGCAGAGCAGAATTTTAGATACACCTTTGCTTTATTTTCCTTTACAGTTGAAAATTTAGAAATGGATGCTTATCTTTAATTATCATATATATTAATTGCACATTAATTTGAGTTGGAACATGGTGATTAAATATTAAGCTTGCACTGAAAACAAATGATTAAAGGTGCCCACTTCAGAATCAGGCCTGGGTTTGTGTTGCTCTCTATCTGCTGTAGCTGTGTTCTTATAGAGTTATTCAGCCTCTTAGAGTTGTACCTGTAAGATATGGGGATGTTAACATCAGTGTTACAGGACATCTGTCTAACGGAATGTTGCTTGTAAAGTACTGAACATAGTGCCACACATTTACTAAGTGCTGACTGAATAGAAGCTGTTGCTGCTGCTGTTATTATTGTCACACTTAATGAAACATAGCAGTTGTGATTAAGCCATGCTACTGTAACCTCAGTGAAATTGGGAACTTACAGAAATGTTTTTGTCACTAAGTTTATGTCACTGGACAATATTTACAAAATGAAGGTATTTAACTATATATTAAGGGGTTAAAGCTGCATAAGCCATGGAAAATTAAGGTATTTGACAAATGGTTTTTGTTATTGTTCTGATCAAACACTTATTTTCCTCCTAGAAACTATATTCAAGTTGAGCATCTCTAATCTGCAGATTCAAAATCAGAAACACTGCAAAATCCAAAACTTTTTGAATGCCACAAGTGGAAAATTCCACACCTGATCTCATGTTATGTCATAATCATTACACAGGTGCACTAAAAATATGGTATAAAATTACCTTCAGGCTATATTAAAAGAGCTGGGTATAGTGGTGTCTACTTATAATCCCAGTACTCAAGAGGCTAAGGTAGGAGAATTGTGAGTTCAAGACCACCCTGGGATACATAGCAAGTTCAGTGCCAGCCTGAGGTGCATAGTGAGATCTTGTCTCCAAAAAAGCAGAAAAAAAAATAAATGAAAGACTTTTCTTTTTTTTTCCTCTTTATTTATTTATTTTATTATATTATTGTTGTACTGGGGGTACATTGTGACATTTATAAAAGTTCTTACAATACATTATAGTTGATTTCACCCCCTCTATCTTTCTCCTTTATCCTGTTCCTGGAATAGTTTCAACAGTTCTTATTTTTCCATTTACATACATGAGTACATAATAATTCCACCATAGTCACCCTCCTACACCTTTCCTTATATCCTGCCCTCTTCTACTGGTACCAACCCCTAGATAGGGCCTGTTTTACCTTCCTGTTCTCCATTTTTGAAAAAAAAGCATTTTTGTTTGTTTAAGATAGCTATACAGTGAGTTTTATTGTGACATTTCCATATAAACATGTATTATATTTGGAATCGGTTCGTGCCCTCTCTTTTTTCTCCTCATAAAAGTGTTTTGTATTTAGACTTGGGTCCCATCCCCCACCCCGAAATCTCATTATATATACAAGTATCCTAAACTCTGAAAAATTGCTAAATCCAAAACACTTCTGGTCCCAAGTATTTCAGAGAAGGATATTCAACCTATAATGAGAATCCCAATTTTGGTTTTTGCATGTTATTTTTAGGAAAAGAGATATCTGAAGAAAGAACTAAATTTTTTTTTTTTTTAAGAATAGGGTCTTGCTATGTAACCCATGCTGGCCTCAAACTGTGATCCTTTGGCCTCAGCTTCCTGAAGTGCTGGTATTACAGGTGTGCATCACTATATCCAGTGAAAGAACTAATTTTTTATGTTTTTTTAAAAATTTGACTTTGAACTTTTCTCTTTCCAGTGTCCTCGAACATGATAGAACGGTCTGTAGTAGAAGCAGCGGTCCAGGAGTGCAGCCAGTCAGTGGATGAAACGATGTATGTGGATAAAATTGACTTTTTTTTCCCATGGGAGGAGGCATTATGAGTGCTTATTTGCAATTATTTTCTTAGGGACATAATTAGTGATCAATAGGTCTATAGTGGTAGCTGTTGTTATTTCTGTGTCTTTTTAAGTGATAGCCTATGTTATAACTCATTATGACTTACCTTATATTTCTCCCTTGGGTGTGAGATTTTAGTGTTTGTTACTTTTCCCAACCAATGTGATTAGATATATTTCATGCCATGAATGAAATGAATTGAATATCAGAAGTGTAATTTACTTTTCTCTTAGGTTTCCCTAAGAGAAGGTCAGTGACTTGACTTGGTCATGTGGTGAATGGCTCTTTCCACTATCTCATGTTTTTAGGCTAAGGTAGTTATATGGCAAAAGTTGGCGGGGTGGGCAGTTCTCTGAATGCCCCTCTTTCCTTTTCTCTTTTGATATACTTCCAAATTCACAAAATTTAACTGGAAAGTAAACATCTAGGAAGATGGGTAGGGAGACAATTTCAGCTTTATAGTTCCTTCCTACTTGGGGCAATGGAGTTCAAAAGAACTGCTAAGAAAAATATAGAAATTGAGGAGTTTTAATTTCACTCTTGCAAATTCATTTAAAATAGCAGAGTATAATGAAATGCACTGCCATTTAAAGATTTATAATCCTAAAATATGTATTACCTATTGTTTATCCTAAAGTTCCTTGTTTCTGGTCAGGCTGTGTATATAATATAGCCTCCAGTTAGGTCCAGCAGGGACTGAATGATCAAAGATAGCAGTTTCGTTTGTCAGGAAGTCATTATATCATAGCACAAGAGAGAGGCTGTCAGTCTTACAGGTGACGAAGTGGCATGACAAGGCCTGAGAGTGTGACTCAAGTGATAGAGTGCCTTCTTAGCAATATCAAGGCCCTGATTTAATCCCCAGTACCACAAAAAAAAAACAAAAAAAACCTCAGAAATAGCATGACAAGTTAGATAATGTGCTCAAGCTAATCCACTAGAAACTAGTGGGGCTGTGTTTCGTTTTCTTTGAGTCTACCAGTTCTCTGCTACTACTTATCAACAAGGTAGTGTGAACCTTTTCTTTTTTTTTTTTTTTTGACCATTTTTAATTTGGGAAATAAATATAATTTTAGGGAAGGTTTTTGTTTTTTTTAAGTTGGGATATTAATGAAATAGTGTGAATTTTTTTATCATCTTTTAAAAGTGGTTATGTTATTAACAATGTCTGAAATTAATTTTTTTTCATCTATAACACTATATAAATCTCAAGGATGTGGCCAGAATTTGGGAGGTCCTTTTTTTTTTTATTTTTTTTATTATTCATATGTGCATACAATGCTTGGGTCATTTCTCCCCCTTGCCACCACCCCCTCCCTTACCACCCACTCTACCTCCTCCCTCTCCCCCCTCTACCCCCTCGATACCCAGCAGAAACTATTTTGCCCTTACCTCTAATTTTGTTGAAGAGAGAATATAAGCAATAATAAGAAGGACCAAGGGTTTTTGCTAGTTGAGATAAGGATAGCTATACAGAGAGTTGACTCGCATTGATTTCCTGTGCATGTGCATTACCTTCTAGGTTAATTCTTTTTGATCTAACCTTTTCTCTAGTTCCTGGTCCCCTTCTCCTATTGGCCTCAGTTGCTTTTAAGTTATCTGCTTTAGTTTCTCTGCGTTGAGGGCAACAAATGCTAGCTCATTTTTTAGGTGTCTTACCTATCCTCACACCTGGGAGGTCCTTTTTCTACTGTAAAACTTTTCCTATGACACTTTTTGCATAGTATTTTAGACTTAGAAATTACTGGAAGTGAATCATATTTTTTTCTTTCATGCTATATATATTGTAGCTCATAAAAGTAGTGCATTTAGGAAGAGAATTCTTTAAAATGTGACTGTTTTATACATAAATATCTTTTTCAATAGACATTCTTAATTAGAAGTTAACTTGGTTTTTTGTTTTTTGAGACAGGGTCTCTCTATGTAGCTGAGGCTGGCTTTAAGCATGTTATCCTGCTTCCAGAGTGCTGGAATTATAGGAGTGGATCAACACACATGGCACTTTTTTGTCTCTTGAAAATAGAATGCCCAAGCTAAAAACTACTCCCGTATTATTTTTGACACTGTAAGAAATTGAGTACATGTCCTGAAAAATATGGAAAGCATATCATATTTGACATAGGATTATAATGTGAGTTATTATGTTCATCTAGAATACTGAGGTTTTCAGTAAATCAGGTCTGTTTTTTGGAATGTTTTTCAGAGAGCATATCTTCAATATCATTGGAGCTTTTGATGTTCCACGTTTTGTATACAATTCAGAAAGAAAAAAATTTTTTCCGTAAGTATACCATATAACCATCTATTGATTTTAAGTTAACTTTAGTTTACATTTTTTTCAGAAGGTGTATAGTTTCATGTTTTAATTTTGGCCTACCTTTGTATATTTATGATAGTAAACAATAGGTGTTCCTTGTTTTTTTAGTTTATTAATGACCAACCACCCTGCACCAAATTTATTTGGAACAGCAAGAGATAAAGCAGAGCTTTATCGTGAACGATACACTATTTTGCACCAGGTAAGTTGGGTGGAAAGAACCACCAAGTAAATTGGGGAAAAAAACAGAGTATTTCAACTTTGGGAAATCTCAGGGATATTTAAAGGATGAAATTTTGCAGTTCAAAGACAGCCATAAAAAAGACTGTTACTGAGCTGTCTGCAAATGAGACTATATAGGTAATACAGAGATGCAAAAGATATTTCCCCTGAATAATGATGACAGTAAAAATAGTAGCTAACATTTAGTACATGATTTTACATTATTTATCTCATTTAATCCTCCAACAGAAATACAGGTAAAAATGCTTCCATTATTCTCATTTTACAAATGAGGAAACTGAAGCCTAGAGAGAGTTAGTAACTTGTCCAAAGTTTGTACCTAATAAGTAGAAGTAGGGTTTGAACCTAGTCTGTCTGCCGTCTACTCTGCTGTACAAGCAAAGTATAATTTTATATGTCCTGTAAAAGAGGTACAAACAGAATGTATTCAAGGGGAAATGAGGGAGAGCTTCAGGAACATGATGGATTTTAACATGGGCATCATGGAAATGGAGAAAAGGGGTTGCCACAGTGTGAATGAAGGCACAGCAAAGGACAACATGGACTATACCGGAAATGGTGAGCAGCCAAGGGTAGCATGGGGTACATTTGGAAAGGCAAATGGGAACCAAACCCTGGGAGCATTTTGGGTGCTACTTTTAGAAGTTGTGATTGTGTTCTCATATAAGGAGCCTTGGAATACCCAAGAGACTCAATCACATGTGGGTTTTGTGAGTGCTTCCTCTACCAGCAGATCTGAGGATGAATTAAGAGTGTGAAAGAAGACTTATATTTGTCTGTGTTATTAGTCCTGGCATAAGTGATAGCAGAGAAGAGGCAAGTGGGGTAGAAAGGGACCAGCTCTAGAGTAGTGGGAACTATAGTTAGTAGTCACTGATTGATAGGAAGAAGGGAGAGGATGAAGATGAATTGAAGATGAATCAAAGATGAATAAGGGTTGAGTTAGAGAATAGAACAGTAGAATAATATGTTAACAAACAGGGTGAAGAAAATTTATGGAAGGTGGTGGCAGGTTCGCTATTAAGTATTTGCGTTAAGGTTGCCAGGAAAGTATTGGTGAAATGTACATTTGGAGCTAAGGAAAGAAATTGGGGGTGGGTGTGGGGGAGATTGATTGATTTAGGGAGTACCTGCATAGAGTAAAAAATGGAACTACAGGATGAGACCCTGAAGAAAAAGGCAGTAGAGAAAGGGGAAGAGGCTAGGATGTAGGGACAGGCTGGGATGGTGTTGTATGGCAGAAGCACTGGAAGTTTTCAAGGCGGCAAGGTAGTTAGCATGGCAAGCTGGTTGAAGAGGTAAGCATCGTCCTTGGCTGCTTCCATCACCAAGTGTTGCCACATTCGTCTTCCTGAAATGTGATTCTCAGCATGTCATGCTTTGCACAGAAGTCTTTCTAGAAAGCTTAATGCTACTGAGTTAAATACAAATTACCTTTGAAAGTTGAGATCTTGTATCACACATTTGTGGCCTAATCTCTGGTTTTCCTTTAGTTATACTCTACTTGAGCCAAAACTGAAATATGGAATGTTGTTTGTTGCTTCCACTTCTTCTGTGACTGCGTATACTACTGGCTACTCTTCCCTTTTCTGAAGCCTGCTGTGAAATTTCCTAATTTTGGAAGTCCCTTCTCAAATTCCTCCCTTCATTTTGAAGCCTTTCTTGATCTCTAGTTGGATACAGTTTCTTCCCTAAGTCCACTGAGAAGTCTGTCTTCTATGTCACTTACTAGAATTGCCCTCCCTTGCATTCAAGTTGTTTATTCCTCTTAGCAGACTGCGAAGTCCTTAATTACTTAATTAAAGTACTTAATTACTTCCTTTGCCACATTTGGCACAGTGTTTTTCACAGAGAAGATAGTAATTGCCACATTTCTTCTTTTCATTCATTCATTCATTCACTCATTCATTCAATTTATTTATTTATTGCGGCATTTTTGAGAGAGGGTTTCACTGTGTAGTTCAGGCTGCCCTAAAACTCAAGATCCCCCTGCCTTAGTCTCCAGAGTGCTGCGATTACAAGTATGTACCACCATGCCTTGACTCTTTTTTTCATTCTTAAAAAAAAAAAAAGACATGTTTTAAAGTCTATGGTATTATTTTGGAGGTGCCACTTAGCCCTTTTGAGCTTCATTTTTCTCATCTGTAAAAACTGAAATTCATTCCCATTCATATTTTCATTCCAGTTACCTTCCTGAAAACAAATTTGATCTTATCATTATTCTACTTCAAAATCTTTGGTTTGGGATGGTGTGCAATGTCTATATTGTATGGGCTCTTTTAATTTGATGTTACAGAAACTCAAAGTAACTAAAACCAAATAAGAACTATGTTATCTTGACTTACCAAGAAGTCGAAAGGTTGATTGGCTTCAGGCATGGCTGAATCTAGGTGCTTACACAATGTCATGAAGCATCTGTGTCTCATCTCTCTCTCTCTCTCTCTCTCTTTTTTTTTTTTTTTTTTCCAAATTGATTAACCTGTTCTTTTCTTTCTTTTTTGATGATACTGGGGATTGAACTCAGGGCCTCACATTTGCTTGGCAGGTGCTCTACTACTTGAGCTACACCTTTAGCCTCTCTTTTTTTTTTTCAGTGGTTTTCTGAGGAAGGCTCTCATTGTGTAGCCCAGTCTGGCCTTGAACTTTCCATCTTTTTACCTGAGCCTTTCTATCCCAGCCTAAGAGTTCTGGGATTAAACATGTACCATCATACCCAGCTTATTGTCCTTTCAAATAAGCTGTCTCTTTGGAGCAATAAAAATGGCCACTAGGGCCTTACCAACTTGAAGACAGGTCCTCTTTTGCAGTAGTTGTAACAGAAGTCTTGAATGTCTTCTGTTGGTCTAGCTTGAGACATTTGTTCATCCTTGAAACCTATCCAAGAAGATGGAGTACTTTCAGTTTTCAGCCTTGGTTGTCTGTAGAAGGGGAAAGAGGCACAGATTGAGAGTAGGGTGGGATGGCACCCCAAATAGTTGCTCTTCCAAATCTCTTGCTTTGTCTAATATTCTGCCTTGTGCACTTTAGGACACATTGCTTCCAAATACTCCTTCACTCTTCCTTTACCCTTCTTTCTTTGGACCCACCCATCTCTCTGCCTATAATGTCTTGTCTCAGCCTCCTTTTGTTCCTTACTAGCCAAGTTTTATTTGTCATTTAGGGTCTTGTTAGATGGTCCCTTGGGCCATATATTGTGTTATATGGTAGCACTTCTCTTCCACTGCCTCAGTGCTCAACTTGTAATATTTTTTATTTTCAAAATTACTGGATGTAACAGACTGATCATTATAATGAATTCTGATCTACCATGGAAGAGAATTTAAGAACGTTAGAAGAGGCTCCTTCAAAATCTTTTTCGAGCTGGGTGCTGGTGGCTCAGGCCTGTAATCCTAGCTACTCAGGAGGCAAGATCAGGAGGATTGCAGTTTGAAGTCAGCCCAGACAAATAGTTCTGGGTTTTCAGAGATATTGAGAATAGATAACAATTTAAGGACTTTATTTCATCATCACACTATTTTAATGAATCTTAGTTTTTAACTCTCTGCTTCAGTAATTAATACGAATCTTTCTTTTTTGTAGAGGACGCACAGACATGAATTATTTACTCCTCCTGTGGTAGGTTCTCACCCTGATGAAAGTGGAAGCAAATTCCAGGTTAGAACATTATCCTTATTATTTGGGGGTTGTAAGTTTAATATGAATTGCTTAATTTTAATTCACTGAATTTTCAATGAAAATAAACTAACTCTTTAAGTAGTTAGCTGACCTGGCTATGCAGCTGCTGTTGATAAAGTACATGCCTGTTGTAGTGACTTCTACAAAACTCTAGTAGAAGTGAATACTCCCTTTGGAGCAGGTCCTGATACCAGGGTAGCTCTCAGATACTCTCTGATCTCTGAGACAGTTCTTAGTCCTCCCCGTCTATTTGCTGGTTACTGCATTGGCTTTCTGACCAACTTTTCAGCAGTGCCCTTCCTGCCTTCACTCATCTGTGAAATATTGGTCTCTGTCTATCCCTCTCTTGGTCATCACACACTCGTGGAGTTTTTTGTTTTTGCAGCACTGGGAAGCAAACCCATGGTCTTGTGTGCGCACTGATCTACATCCCCAACCCAGTTGATCACACACTAGTTAAATTAAAATGTACTACATCAGTTGGTTGAAAACTTTACTTAAGGCACTAAGGAAACATTGGACTCAATCTCCAGCACCAAAAACAACAACAACAAATAAAATACAAAATAAAAGGTATTAAGGAAACAATATAGAATACAGACAGACCCCAGGGTTGTTCAGACTTGAGGAACAGAGGAGAGAGGGAAAGTCTTTAATGTTGGTAAAAAAGTAAAGTGTGTTCTCTACTTTTATACTCTTATATTTTGGAAAGCAGTTACCAAACATCACTCTTTTTTCACCTGGCCTCTATCAGTCATCTGTGGCTCTGTCCTTCCTCTCCAGCATGCAGAACTCTGCTGGGGATTAATCCTTAGTTACTTCTGTCTAGGCCCTATTTCCATGAGGCCCTAAATAGATTTTTTTGATTTTTTTTTTTGTGGTACTAGGGCTTGAACTCAAGACCTTCACCTTGAGCCACTCCACCAGCCCTATTTTTGTGAAGGGTTTTTTGATATAGGGTCTCACAGAACTATTTGCCTGGGCTGACTTCAAACTGCAATCCTCCTGATCTTACCTCCTGAGTAGCTAGGATTACAGGCCTGAGCCACTAGCACCCAGCTCGAAAAAGATTTTGAAGGAGCTTCTTCTAATGTTCTTAAATTCTCTTCCATGGTAGATCAGAATTCATTATAATGATCAGTCTGTTAGAAACTGAAACAGTAATACTGGATAATGCTCATATTAATATTGAGGTAGCATTGTACAGAGAAGACACTTATGGTGCTTAGCAGTTTCATGTTTTTAATTTTTATTGACATTACTTATATTTTCCTACCAGAGACTGTCCATGGCTCAAGTGGTAGAGTACCTGCCTAGCTAGTGTGAAGCCCTGAGTTCAAACCACAGTACTTCCAAAAAAAAAGACCGTACATGTTTTTCTTCTATAGATCAGTTTTCCCATGGCAACTCAGAAGGTTTTTTTACTCATTTCCTCCTTACCAAAGTAGCTTTGAGGCTTAGCTAAATAATTTGTTGTTCTTTTCAATCTTTATGTTTAATTTTGTATCTACAATGGTACATTTGTTATTTAAACTATATTTATAATGCCTGAACAGTAATCTCTTTACACTCTACAAATATGTCTGGGTTCAGACATATTTTGAAGACTTGGGGTATAACTGAATGCTAAAGTGCTTGCCTAGCATGCACCAGGCCCTGGGTTCAATCCCCGACCCTGCAAAATAATAATAATAATATTTTTTAAAGTATTTAGTCTTTTCTTTGTATGCCTGTGTTGTTTTAGTTGGTTTTGTTGTTGTTGTTGTTTACTGAGTTTTAACTTAGGGCTTCACGTTTGCGAGACAGGCACTCTGCCACTTGACCCATGCCCCGGGCCCTTTTTGCTTAAGTTAATTTTTGAGTAGGGTCTTGTGTTTTTCCCTGGACCAGCTTAAATGACAGTCCTATTTACACCTCCAGCATACTGGGATGACATGCATGCGTCACCATGCCCTGCTTTATTGGTTGAGGGTATGGAGAGAGTGAAGCATGAGGGTTATGGGGAATGTATGTGGGAGTGTCTCTTTTTTGCCTAGACTGGCTTGAAATGTGATCCTTTCAATCTCCACCTTCCAAGTGGCTGCAATTACATGCTTAAGTGGAACTTTATTTATTTACTTATTTATTTATTGAACTCAAGGCCTTGCACTTGCTAGGCAGGCACTCTACCACTTAAGTGAAACTTTACTGTCAACTTTTTAAACAGTGATTATTATGGGGTGGTTGGATTACATATGTCTGTATTTCTTTCTTCTTTTTTTTTTTTTTTTTTTTGGTGGGTCTGGGTTTGAATGCACGGTTTGGGCTTGTAAAGCAGGAGCTCTATTGCTTGAGCCACATCTCCAGTCCATTTTACTCTGGTTATTTTGGAGATGGGGGAGTCTCTTGAAGTTTTTTCCCAGGCTGGCCTCCAACCATGATCTTCCTGATCTCAACCTTCCAAGTAGCTAGGATTACAGGTGTGAGCCACCAGGGCCTGGTTGTCTACATTTCTTCCTTGGCTGTATTTTTATGTTTTTCTGAAGTAAACCTGGATTATTTGTAATGAAAACACAATATGCTAAAGATTTTTTAAAAAGCTCTCCCTGGTAGTTTATAAAAATGAAAAATTATATACTCTTCTCTCTAGAGGTTCCATTTCTGGAACTTGGGAGAAGTTGTCCATCTGTTATACCCACGCAGTGGACCAAGCAGGTGCCCAAAAACACCAAATATTATTTTCACTAGCAGAAAACCGGGAACTACTTAACTTTTCTTTAATGGGATTTGGTGAAATGAAAGGTAAGATGTATAGGTATCCCTTGGTATCCTTGGTAACAAAACTCCTAGATGTTCAGGTCCTTATATAACATGACATAATATATGCATATAAGCATCACATGTCCTCCTGTTTACTTTAAATCATCTCTACATTACTTCTAATACCTAGTACAGTATAAATGGTATGTAAGTAGTTATTCTTATTGTTCAGAGAATAAGGACAAGAATAAAAGGTGTATATATGTTCAGTACATGCACAGTTTTCAAGTAGGTGTGTGATTTAAAATTGGTTGAATCCACAGAAATACAAATATGTTTGTATTTATGTATATGTGTGAAAAAAATGAGAAAGAGCTTTTTAAAATGGTACCCTAATTGTTACTACTATAACTTTCTGATAAAACTGTTAAAAATTTCTGATAAAGCTCAGATTGAGAATGTAAATAATGATAGTCTTTCAAAATACTAAAGAAAATTAGAGTATGATTTTTTTAAATTATTAATTTTTAAGAAATACTGATCAAATAAAATAAATAAAATGTGCCAGGAGTGATGGTATACGTCTGTAATCCCACCCTCAGGAGGCTGAGGCAGGAGGGTTTAAAATTTAAGGCCAGCCTAGGCTACATAGTGAGACCTGAGTTCTAGGTAGAAGGATGGATGGATGGATGGATGGATGGATAGATAGATAGATAGATAGATAGATAGTCTTTAATAAAAAATCAGTATACTTTTTTATTCATAATGATATGTCATAAAGCGCCAGTCATTGGTAAGGGCTTGACTTGATATATTTCTTTAGGCATAATTTTTATAGTTCATCATACATTTGATATTTTAGCTTTTTATAGAATGAAATTAAACTTGATAAGTTTTAAAATTTTTTTCTACTGTAAAGTAGCTTTAAATAATCTTAAGAATTTGTTTTATTTTAGCTTAAAACAATAGAAACTTTATTGGGTAGTACAACCAAAATTGGAGATGTGATTGTTCTTGGAATGATAACTCAGTTAAAAGAGGTAAGTTAAACTAAATATGCATTAGACTTCTATTTTTGTACTCAGATTGGTGAGGGGCTGGTACCATAGAGCATTCCTATAGAGAGTACAGGAACATAATCTTGATTGGAAGTTCTTACCTCAGTCACTAGGTAACCTTTTTCACTTGTGTTCCATTTTCTGAGTAGACAGGAAAGGAGTGTCATGTCTAGGTGCTCAATTTGCATAGGCTGAAAATAGGCCTCTCTGACCTCTGGTTGAATTGAATACTGTGTTCTGAATAAGTATCTGCAGACCACAACTTGGTCCCTTCAAGATGCAGGTGGCTCTCTTAAATGAAGACACCTCATAGGGCTTTTGACAGTCCAGTTAGGGTCCCTCTTGCTACCTCTTGATATTCAGCAGTCATTCCTCATAGTATATGGGAGGAGTCTGAGTCTTAATTAAGTGATGAGTCTGAGGGCACCAGACTAGTAAGTAGGAAAGCCTGGGCTAGGGGTTGTTGATGTTTATAGATGTATTGTTCTCTGTACTATATTCAGTTGTCGAACTTACTAGTATTTTAATTATTTTGTCATAGTGTTCATTTTTATGTAAATGTAAATAGATGTCATTCTGTTTTAGGGGAAATTTTTTCTGGAAGATCCTACTGGAACAGTACAACTGGATCTTAGTAAAGCTATATCCTTCACTTGTAAAAATCTGTTATAGTGCTGGGAGTGCAGCTCAGTGGTGGAGCACTTGTCCAGCATGTGTGAGCCCCTGCAATTGATCCCCAGCACCCCCCCACAAAAATAAGTTGCATGAATTGGGAAAATTGATTTTATATCATTCTCAAATTTGCCTATTTGGGTTCTCAGTCTAACTTTCATATGGTGGTCATGTAGGAATATAAAGATATAATTCTAAACTGTGACAAAACTACTTTAATTCCTTCTTATTTGGAGAATCTAGACAAATCACTGAAGTTTATAACACCATAAGAATGATCTACACTATACTGATGTACAGTTGTAGTACCAGGCTACATCTTAAACGTAGGACATTTAAACTTAAACATTTCTAAGCTATGGTGTAAACTGTAAACTATACAGTTTCAAATACGGAGTTTTTGAGTTTATTACTTAGAAATATTTTGGGGCTCCAAATGTATGTTGACTTTATCCCTGCCTGAAGCCTAGAAATAAGTTGTTTTCCTCAGCTGTTTGTACCAGTTCCATAGTGGTTTATACACAGAGGCTTGCTTTGTCTTAGCAGAAGGTAAGGAGGCATGCTCTTCCTGCTGTCATTGGTACACAGGGGAACGATTTCTACATTGGGTAAACTATACTAACATGATATAATTTGGGAGACCATTGATTATGAGAACATATTCTTGACAACATAAGGTAACTCTTAGGCTTAGGTAAACCAACAGAAACCTTTTTGGGGTAATGAAAATGTTCTGAAATTAGATAGTGGAGATAGCTTCAAGCTTGTAAGTATACTAAAAACCACTAAGATGTACACTTTTAAAGGATGAATTGTATGGTACGTGAGCTATATCTCAAAAAAGTTGATAACAACTTGAAGATTTTACAGTCATACAAAGGAACATTACCTAATCTGTGTATCTAATAAGATATGCATATGCTATGAAATTGAAAAGTATAATCCCTACCACCAAAAAAAAAAAAAACCTTCCGCTTCCGAGTCTATTTCTATTTAATGTACTTTTATTTATAAAATTTAGACTATCTATGGCTCTGAAGTTGTATAGCTCAATAAGATTGACAACTTCTGTAGTTAGTTCACAGGGCACGAGACTATAGCTTAGAATTAATGCCTTGTGTAACAGATTTGTCTTTTTAAACAAGAAGGGGAATTGGACAAGTGAAAGTGATTTGTTATCTTTTTCAGGTTGGTTTGAAGATCAAGTGTTTCATGTCAATGCGTTTGGATTTCCTCCCACTGAGCCCTCTTCTACTACTAGGTATTAAAATGTTTGATTCAAAGTCCAGGAATTTTGTAAAACTGGCAGTTGTGAATATATGATAGCTTATCATATCTCAGTTATTACTAGGCCTCAGGATTTGAGGCAAAATGCAGAGAGCACTGGAAAATTAAAGAAGGCCAAGTTTTATATAAAATTCTGAAAACTAGCATATTAACCCTAGATTAGTTGTAGTAGCATGTCTTTAACTAGGAAAGATTTCAGTCTCTCCGTCCAAAAGGTTGATGAGCATCAAGTGAAGTGAGAGATAGGAAAACACAGACAAATATAATCCCATGTTAATACAAAGGTCTTATTTTTGTATTCTACTAATGAATGAAAGTCACAAAATAGCAGACTGTATCTCCTGGTTGTTATAAATAAAAATAATATTAGAGCAATTCCAAAAGGTTCCTTTGGGAGGAGTGAGTTCCTTGTCACTCAGGGTATTTGAGCAGAGGTTGAATGATGTAAAAGTTGTAGCTGAGGCCCTGAGGGTTGAATGTAGTCGGCAGACTTACTCCCTAACTATGAGATGTTTAAAAACATTTTTAGTTTGCAATATATAAAAATTAGATTTCTCATTAAAGTCCAGATTTCTGAGTTCTCTTGTGCCATTAGATCTGACAATTATGGCACCTGAATTCTTACCTGGTGAAAATTATACTGCAGCGATGACCACCTTGGGTAGGGCTGTATCTGTGTTAATCTCAGCTGGCTTCTGCTTTGGTGTTTAGTGTTAGCTTCCTGGAAACTAAGCATTTGAGTCTTCCTCTTGTTATTGTCTTTGCACCTCATATTTCCTGAACCAAGGAAGGAAGATATTAGGAAGGATTTTCTCAGCTTTAATTTTACGATTTGTCTTATTTAATTAATTAAGTAATTAATTAATTTGGTGGGACTGGTGTTTCAACTCAGGGCTTCATGCTTGCAAAGCAGGCGCTCTACTGCTTGAGTCATGCGTCCAGTTCATTTTTTGCTCTGGTTATTTTGGAGATGGGGTCTCTCAAACTATTTGCCTGGGCTGGCTTTGAACTGAGATGCTCCCAACCATAGCCTCCCAAGTAGCTAGGATTATAGGCATAAGCCACTGGTGCCTGGCATTACAAGATTCATCTTAATGGTGTTTCTTTCTGTGATGCTTTGGTTTGTGTTGAATATTACTCAATTCATGTCATCATACAGTTATGTCTACTTACTGAATTCCTCTAATAATTGCAAAATTATAACTTTAACATTATACCTTTGGAAAAGGCCATGTCCAGTTGGTGACAACACAGCAGCTATCATGTCAGAGTGCTCACATAGGGGCTTATGTGGCATAGGGGCTTTCTGTACATTATTTCTTTTATTCCTTCTAGAATCTAGAGAGGGCCTTGCACATGCGGGACAAGTGCTCTACAACCAAGCCACATCCCAGCCCTCGTTTTTTTGAGTCAGGATCTCACTGTGTAGCCCAGGCTGGCCTAGAACTCATTGTGTAATCCAGGCTGTCCTCAAACTCATGATCCTGTTTCCCAAGTCCTGGGATGATAAGTGTCCACCATTACGCCTGGCTCTTTAAGAGTATTTTTTCAGGGCTGAGGGTGTGCTCAAGTGGTGGAACATGTGTTTATCATGCATCAGGTCCTGGGTTCAATGCTTACCCAACACATACACACAAAAAAGTTTTTTTTCACATTATCAGTGTATAGTACATGGTTACCAAAAAAAAATTTACAAGATCTAGTGAAGACATGAAAAGGAAAGGAGTATTACCTGCAATTCTATTAGAAAACCTGTTAAGATTATTTATCAACTTATATTTTATATAATTTATGTGTCTGTACAAAAAGAAGCACCTCACCTCATTATTCATGGATTGTAGCTAAAATCTATCTGTAAACCCACAGTGCAGTAGCCATAACTCATGGTTGTGCAAAGAAAGTGAAAAATTTGATTTGCCAGGGGTCTTTGCTGTTTCAGCCTCATTGAGAGATGACTAAAGGACAGAGACTGAGAGGGAGTGCAAGAAGCTTCAGTCTGGGGCTTGATAGGCGTGAGAGGAGTTGGAGAAGGTGGAGTCTATATTTCGTTCCTTTTATTCTTGGTACTATAAATGGATAATGGGCATTCCTTTGTAACCTGGTTTTTGTTTAATAATATGCAGTCATCTTTTTCCATTCCTGTGAAATATTTTGTATTGCATGATTTGTGACATTCAGCATGTTTCTAATTTGGTAAACAAAATATAGAAGACAATAATTATTTTATAACTATATAGGGCATACTATGGAAATATTAATTTTTTTGGAGGTCCTTCCAATACATCCGTGAAGACTTCTACAAAACTAAAACAGTTAGAAGATGAGAATAAAGATGCCATGTTTGTGTTTATATCTGATGTTTGGTTGGACCAAGTCGAAGTATTGGAAAAACTTCACACCATGTTTTCTGGTAGGTCTTTCTTTCCTGTCTTCTTTCTTTCCTTTTCCTTCCTTCCTTCTTTCCCTTTCCCTTTTTTGCTTCTCTCCCTCCGTCTCTTACTTCCTTCCGCTTCCTTCTTTCTTTCCTTTCCCTCCCTCCCTCTTCTTCCTTCCTTTGTTGTTATTTTGAACTGTCATGATAGCTCATGTCTTAAAACTAAATGCTCACTGTATATGGAGATGCATACTTGCTACTCAGGAGGCTTATGCGGGAGGATTGCTGGAGCAGTCCTGTATATATGTGTGTGTATATTCATGATCAATAAGAATTAGTCCTAACTATAGTATAATTAAAGAGAGTGAGGAGGAGGTTGGGCCTTGAAATCTGTTTTAAATGCCAGCCTAATACTTTGGTCAGGTTACTGAACCTCTTTTAAGTCTCAGCTTGGAAGGGTGTTCTGAGGACTAAGCCAATGCAAGGCCTTGTACATAGTGTTCAGTGAATGGGCATCATTATTATTACTATTATTTTATTAAAAATAAGTTATTAAGATAATACATTTGCTTATTAAAAACTCATGGTCAGGAGTTGGGGATATAGCTCATACTAGAGCGCTTGCATACCATATGTGAGGCCCTGGGTTCAGTCCCTAGCCCTGGAAAAAAGAAAAAGAAATTCTTGAAAACATGGGCACAATGACACCCCTGTAGTCTCAGCTACGTGGAAGGCTGAGGCAGGAGGATCATTTGAGCCCTTGAATTAGAGGCCAGCGTTAGAAACATAGTAAGACCCTGTCTCAAAAAGAGAAGAATCAAAACTCACGATCAAAGGATTATATACTGACTGCCAGACTTGAAGGATGATGTTCTTTTGTTCTGTAGGTTATTCACCAGCACCTCCAACCTGCTTTATTCTGTGTGGTAATTTTTCATCTGCACCATATGGAAAAAATCAAGTTCAAGCTTTAAAAGGTACTGAAGGATCTGTTTAATACATTTATAAATTTATATTAAGTTGATAAGAAATTACCCAAAATGTTTGAATTTCATTCAAAAGATGTAGAGTTGCACTTAGTTAAATATAATCTAGTTTATATGTGTATTATATGCAAATTAAATGTGAAATCTTTTTAAAATTTTAGATTCTCTAAAAACTTTGGCAGATATAATATGTGAATACCCAAATATTCATCAAAGGTAATGATCTCTATTGCTGTATTTTTTATTCAAATAATTTTATTAAAAAAACACACATAGGTCATTGTCACCTTCAAAATGACCCGCTTTCAGTCTGTAATAAACAAACCTGTCATTTTACTGTTAAAGGAAAACAAAAGCTGAATCTTAAGTTTTATATTAGTGACTATTAGAAATTGCAAGGAGAAAAAGATAAAATTAAGAGCTAGAAGATAAAATTGTTCTTGCATCATAATATGTTATACCATTCTTTAGATTTATAGTAAAAAATATCAAAAAGGAGAGTGATAATTTCAGCCACACTTTTTGGTGACATTACTATTCTAAAACCTTCTCCCTCCCTTTGTTTTTTCTTTTTTTTCTTTTTTTTTTTGGTGGTATAGGGGCTTAAACTCAGGGTGTCACACTTCACTTACTAGGAAGGTGCTCTACCACTTGAGTCACTCGGCCAGCCCTTCACCCTTATATAATCAGTCACTGGCCACATGTGTCTCTTTAAAGTTCTAGTTAAATTAATTAAAGTGTAAAGAAAGTTTGAATTTCAGTCTGTCAGCCACACTTGCCATAGGTTAAGCACTCAGTAACAAACATAGAACATTTTTGTCATCACACTATTAGACTGTTAGGCTAGAGACGTTTAGCAGTTTATTTATTAAATTAGCTGAGCATGGTATGCACGCCTGAAATCCCAGCCCTTGTGAGGCTGAGGCAGGAGCATCTTGAGCTTCAGGACAGTCTGGGCTGCATAGTGAGACCCTGCCTTTATATATATATTCCATAATTCAATTAAAGGCAGTGACTTGTTTTATATTACTTTAGTAGGTTGCCATATTATCAATTTTTTAAATGAATTATGTTGAATTTTGCTGCAGTAGTCGTTTTGTGTTTGTTCCTGGTCCAGAGGATCCTGGATTTGGCTCCATCTTACCAAGGTAACTTTTATTCAGATTTTTGCAACAGTCAAGAAAATTCTGTAAATTTAAAAAATGTATTCTTTATCACATAAATTGTTTTTATAGGCCACCACTTGCTGAAAGCATCACTAATGAATTCAGACAAAGGGTACCATTTTCAGTTTTTACTACTAATCCTTGCAGGTAAATATTAATATTTTGTGTTACACTTTTTTTCTTTCATTTAAAAACTTAATTTTTCAAATTTGTTTCTGAATTTTGGCTGTTATGGAGTAAGTATAAAAAGAAAATTTGTTTTTAGATTTTTTTAAAACTTTGGGAAAAAAAAGCTCACTAATAGTGGATTTAGAAGCTTAAATTTCTGTCTGTAGCTCAGACTTTTCTCCCAACTCTCAGGTCCAGCTCCTACTAATCATCTGCCCTTGCTGTTCATCTGACAGCTTAGAAGTGAACTCTGATCTTCTCCCTGCCCCCACCCTCACCTGTTCTGCAGCCTTCCCCATCTTATTCATGGCACCCCATTCAGTTGTTGAGGCCAAGAACTTTGAGGGTTTCTATCACTTGAAGTTTTTTGAGAGGAATTACCATCTTCAAAATACATCCAGAATGTAGCCACCTCTGCAACTCCACCTCTATGACCCTCCTACCATGTTCTCTAGCCTGGAGAATTGGTCTCTAGCTTCTACCCCTTCTTTTCTATAGTCTGTTTTCAACCCAGTGTTAGAGTAAGACATATCATGTTCTTCCTGATCCTGAAAGATGGGGTCCCTTGTGTCAGTTGGAAACAACCCAGATTTTTGCAGTAGTAACGCAGGCCCTACCCCCATGATCTGGCTCTTCCCATTACTGCCTTCGTACCTGTCTTACTCTGCCTGAGCTGTGCCTGTCCCCTGTGCCTGCAGTGTTCCTATTTTGGATGTCCAGGTTCCTCCCTCCCTTTGAGCCCATCCACAGATCACTCTTGCTTCCTGTTCCAAAGCGTCCTACTTAACACTGGTCTTCTACCCCTCTCTTCCTCCCCGTGATCCCTCTTAGCCCATCTTTTTCTTTATCTAATATACTTCATCGTTTTTCAACATACTACACGATTACCATGTTTATTTTCTTTTCCCCCTCCCCCCATTAAAATGTAAATTGCATGAGGGCGGGGATCTTTTTGTTCTGTTTATTCATCCCTAGAATAGTGCTGGGCACATTTGAAGAGCTCAATAAAGGGCTGAGAGTATGGTTCATTGGTAGAGTGCTTGCCTTGTACACATACTGGTTCAGTTCCCAGCACTGCAAAAAAAAAAAAAAAAAAAAAAACTAAATAAATAATTGAATGGATGAATAGATAAGATAGAGTCTAGTAGAATTTTTGCTGTGGTGAGCATTGAGAAGTGGGAATGGCCTTGTATTCTATGACATTTTGCTTTTAAAATTATCTTGTATTTTTTCTGAAGAAGCCAAATTCAACTACTGCTTTATTTCAGAATTCAGTATTGTACACAAGAAATTATTATCTTTCGTGAAGACTTAGTGAATAAAATGTGCAGGAACTGTGTCCGTTTTCCCAGCAGCAACTTGGATATTCCTAGTCATGTAAGTAGTCTTCACATAATACACAATTTTGTCTTAATTTACCCTTGTTGTTCTGATGTTTACTTGTGGTTCAAAGCAATTCAAATATGCTTTTCTCAGCAATTCAACTTTTACTACTAAGTATGTTTCTCAGTTTTCTACTGAAGGTTCCTCTAATGGCAGAGAATAAAGCCAAGATTAAGCAAGGAATTTTTTCGACGCTTCCTGTTTTGCCTTTAAAACTCTTAAATTGTACTTCAAATGCTTGTATGTCTATTCTGAGAAAATGTTCATATGTATCATGTCCATTACACATTTCCTGTGGCGTGAGCACATCAGGAGGGTGCACTTGCAGCTTCACAGTTCCTTAGCAGTAAGGCATATGGTACATGCCTATAATCCCAGCTCTTGGAAGGCATAGGCAGGAGGATAGAATTGGAGGCCCGCCTCACTATGTAAAGAGATCCTGTGTCAAATACCCTAGAACCCCCCCACTCCACCCAAAAAAAACCCCAAAAAACAAAAACAACAACAAAGTTCCCTGACATACAGTTGTCAGTCCTTGGTTACACATACTTCCATTTGAGAAGTATGGATTTAGAGCATACAGAACATTTTTATTCTTCATTTTACAATATTTAGCTTATGTAGACTATTGATTTGTGGCTTTACTTAAGCTATGAAATTATTGTTATTTTTAAGAAACATTTTCTCATGGGTTCAAGTGATGATCCTAGCCTCTTGAGCTGGGACTATAGGTATACACCAACATACCTGGCACTATGAAATTATTTTTAGGACTGATAGAGTGGCTCAGGTGGTAGAATGCTTGTCTAGCAATCATGAGGCCTTGAGTTCAAGCCCTAGTACCGCCAAAAAAAATAAATAAAAAAAAATAAAAGAAAGAGAAATTATTTGTAGATGAACAGAACTGGTAAATGAGTTTATTGTATAGCTGCACATACAACTGATCCAATATGACTAATTGGGAGAGTCATTGTTATAGTATATGACATTAGATGAGAATTCATAGATTTTCTCCCTTAAAATACAGGATAATTAATTTCACTTTATATCAGTATTTACCAAAGCTCTGTAATTTAGTTTCCCTAAATTATTTCTCACATTGTCTAGGTCCTTTTGGTAGTTATTTCATTTAAAATGATTTGTTTCACTGTTTTCACTTTTATACATAAACTGAAGTTTGCGTTGTCTTGTGTTCTGTTGCAGTTTGTGAAGACTGTCTTATCCCAAGGACACTTGACTCCTCTACCTCTTTATGTCTGTCCAGTGTACTGGGCCTATGACTATGCTTTGAGAGTGTATCCTGTGCCTGATCTGCTTGTCATTGCAGACAAATACGATCCTTTCACCATGACCAATACCGACTGCCTCTGCATAAACCCTGTAAGGATGTAGTTAACCCTATATAGTCATTGTCTGTCAAGATTAAAACACACTTCTCTAATTTTAAAATATATATTTAATATTATTGGAGTTAAAAATACTATTAATGAAATAATAAGTTTGGTAAGCACAGAACGTTCTTACACTTTCAGTATAGGATGTGAGTATAAAGTAATAACTTTAAAAAATAAACACATCAAAACATATATATTCAAAGGAGTATTTTCCCCTTTAAAGTAACTTACTGTACGACTTCTTTCTGAGAACTGCTTTCAGGACTTGTATTTCATTCTCTTTAACCATATTAATGGAACTTGAGAATTGTGATTTTTTTTGTTTTTAAATTGCCCACGTGCCAAAGTCTAGCCTGGGAAATGAAATTTCATTGGGACATACTTTATTACTTAATTTTAGGTAAATCCTTAAAATTACTTCAGAATATTGAAGTTGCTTCAGAATTTCTACAGAAGGATGATTGACTTTTAAACTTGGAGAAGAAATGTTTTGTAAACAATGACATAAACACAGATGTTTATGCTAAACAAAATACTGCCTTCACAGTGATTTTAATCTGCATACTTTTCTTGATTCTTGTGAACTTCAGATTAATCATTTTTTGTTTCATCCGGGTTATTCCTAGAAAAGTCACATCCTATTACTGGTTAGTACTTTCATCAAACACTTTGTCTGACTTCCTCTAAGACAGGCTTAACAAACTTGGCACATTTGGCATTTTAGACCAAATAATTTTTTGCTGTAGAGGACGTCCTGTGTGTTGTTGGATGTTTAGCAGTATCTCTAGCTTCTGAAACCCATTGGGTACCAGTCACATCCCCCAGTTGTGATGATTGTAAATGTCTCAGGACATTTTCCAAATGCCCCCCACCCAGGGACAAAGTCATCCCTGGTTGAGACCCACTGCCCTAGATGAACACAATTAACTCATTTGGCTTCCCTGCTGAAGTTTTGTATATTTTTCATATAATCTTTATTTGCATTCAAATATCCCTTTACACTGAAACTGTTTTCTCATTTAAATTTTAACTCTTTGGGCATTCTCTTAGTTAATACTCTTTGAATAGAGTATACCTTATTCCTGAATTTTTCCACTTTTTTTCTTTGGTGGTACTAGATTTTGAACTCAGCCTCGCATTTGTTAAGCAGGTGTGCTATCACTTGAGCCACATCTCAGCCCTTGAATTTTTCCACTTTTTCATCCTGTTAAGTATATAAACAACCAGCTCCTATACCATCATTGTATCTTTTAAACCTTACTTACATCTTTTGGGCAAGCTCAAAAGTTGCTTTTGACATTGCTTCATCTCCCCCACCTTTTTTTTTTTTTTCCCCTCATCCCTTCTTGATACTTTTACATTAATGAATACCTGCTATGGACAGAGACTGAAAGACTGAGCCTTTGCTCAGTAACCTTAGAGTTCCTTAGTACACAGTTATGAGTGCTTACTGCTCAGTTGCTTTGGGGCACATTGCTGGAGAGGGGACATTTTCATTGAGCAAAGGGGTAGGGAAGACTTCTTGAACATGATGTTTGAGTGTGTTAGATGCATATGTAGCATTATACAGTACTATTTATTTTTTATACTGAGCGGAGCCACTCCTAAGCATTTCCAGTCACATCTGTTAGCATAAAACTATCTAGTAAACTTAAAAAACTTTTGCTTCAAATGGGGATACTTTATAGTAATACCTCTCTATACAGATCATGATAAAATCTGGTGTATTACTTTATAGTACATCATGACTTTAAGTCATGACCAAGAAATTTGATTTTTGTCTCCAAAGGGCTCTTTTCCAAGAAGTGGATTTTCATTCAAAGTTTTTTACCCTTCCAATAAGACAGTAGAAGATAGGTAAGTGTACCCCCCCAAACAGCAACGGGCTTTCCTCTTGTATTGCTAAAAATCACATTCTGCTTATTGTGGTTAAGCTGTATGTACTTGCTAGTGTTTCTGTTAAAACAGAATAAGAACTTTTTTATCAGCATGTAATAGTTGTGTGTGTGGGGAATTCATCTCCTCCATTATTCTCCCTCCCCTGCTTCTTAGAACAATTTCAATAGGTTTCATTATTCTATTTTCATATATGAATACAAAAGACATTCACCATATTCACCCTCATTCATCCTTTCCTTATGCACTCCCCTCTTCCACTGGTACCCATCCCCAGAAAAGACCTGTTTTACCTTCCTATAGAACAAGAACTTTTTGAGTGAAATCCCAGATCTGCTGTGGAGTGGGCTAGTTCTCTTATAGGCTGACTCCTGAGGGTACTCTTGAATAAGAATTCCCAGAGGTCAGCACTGCCCCTCACATAGTTGACACTCAGAACCCAGGCAGTCAGCCTTAAATTGGCAGCAAAATAGTGGGAAGCTGGATGTGAATGCAGTGATGAGGAAGGATTGAGGTTGACAGGTCTTGGGAAAACAGAAAATAATCACCTAATGAATATTGGTTTTTCACAAGGTGATCTATATATCACTTACATCAGAAATCTCTGAGGTTCTTATTTAAAATGAGTTCTAGAGCTGATAGATTGGTTCAAGTGGTAAAGCACCAGCCTAGCAAGTACAAGGCCCTGAGTTCAAACCCCAGTTATACAAACAAAAAATAAATGTTTTGAGTTCCAGGATTTTATTCCAAGCTCATCATGGCTTTCTAATTGTAGACCTGAGGAATATGCATTTTAAAATTTACCTTGGATTCAGGCATCCTAATGTGTGATTTCTCAGATAATTGTATTTTTGAAAAGCTTTCACCTCTAATTAAGAAAAAAAATGACCAATGGTGGTGCATACCTGTAATCCCAGCATTAGAGAGGCTGAAGCAGGAGGATCAAAAGGTAAGGCCAGCCTGGGCTACCTAGTAAGACCCTGTCGTAAATAAAAAAACAAATGACAGTAACTACCCTCCAGGTTCCTGTTTCCTGACAACCTGTTTGTCTTTTGTTTTGTAATGAAAATATTTATTTAAATAAATAGGAATACAAACACATAAAAAAAAAAAAACCTCAAACAATGCTTAAAAGTATAAATTTGAAAAGGAAAAATATCTCTGCATCCCAACACTGAAAAAAACATGATTAACAATTTCTTTCTTGGGTAGTACTGAGGTTTGAACTCAGGGCCTTGAGATTGCTAGGCAGGGCTCTACTGCTTGAGTCATGCCCCCAACCTTTTTGCTTTAGTTATTTTTTTGGATAATGTCTTGCATTTTTGCCTGGGCTGACCTAGGACCACATTTCTCCTACCTTTGCCTCCCAAGGGTGAAGAAAAGCACAAAAGCTTGAGACTCTTATCTGAAAAATAAACTAATTCAAAAAGGACTGGGGACATGGCTTAAGTAGCAGGGAGCTTGGTTTAACAGGTAGAGTGCTTGCCTAACAACCAGGAGAGTCTGAGTTCAGACCCCAGTGCTAATGGATGGATAGATACAGATAAAATATAAAGACATAAACCCTACCTGGAGATTAACTGATTTATTATGCTAGCATAAGATACTTCAGCTACATTTCTTGTAATTGCCATACAGAATTATTTTGTGCACTATGCACTCCATACACTTTCTATTGTAGTTCCTAATATATTAGAAGTCATTTAGGTGCCTGGCCCTCTTAAAAGTTTCTAGTAGTTTCAAGCACAGTACTTGACTTGTAGTTGATACTCACTGCTTGTTGAATTCAAACAGCTCTGTGGCCTCAGGTGCTTCAAAGCTTTAACATAATTTCCAAATTATACTTTAGTATTGATAACTTGAGGAATCTGTTTAGTACTGAATTAAACAAGTAGATGTGCCTCATTTTTGAGAGAACAGAAAACATTTTCAAGATATATTGAAATACTCTGGTCTTTCTGCTACTTAGTTTATCCTAAGAAGAAACCTTTTGTTAGAATATTTGTGAAGTCATACTGTGGAGTTAATCACAGAATGTAGACAAAGTATAGATAAGGTTAGCTGTTTTGACGTGTACTTTCTTTTTCTTATATACAGGTGTTTATTTGTTTTATATTTTTAAAATTATCACATAGAAACTATATATATAAATGGAGTATAATATGTATTTCCCAGTAGTTTTAGTTTAAAACACAACATTGGTGATGTGGTAGGGAAATACAGTCTCCACACACCTGGTCAGAATGAAAAATGGCAAAAAAAAAGCTTGACAAAATTTATTAAGACCTAAGATGTATTTTTAGGAACTTATTCTACAGGTACAGTTGGGCTTATGCATAAAAGTAGGGAGTATTTATTGTAGCTTTTATAATATCAAAAGGTAAGAAACAGTTTAAATGTAGATACGTAAATATGTGTACTTACTCAAACCTTTTATATTTAAATTTCAAAGCCATAAAGGAACTAGTGAAATAAGTTACAAATGTGTGTACTAATTGAAAAAAGGAAGAATACTGTGCATAATCCACTTTCATACATGATGCTTATGTATAATTTAACTATCTTTCTTTTTTAGGGTACAGAAATGGGGTGCAAGACTGATGTACTTTTAGTGGTCTTTGGAATAATGTACATAATAGTGACCTATGTTTAAAATTAAGTAATTTTTAAGAAAAGTACACTAACTTAGGTTTTTAAAATGTTTAATTTTATAATTTTTTTCTATTTTCAGCAAACTTCAAGGCTTTTGAGATTCATCTGAATAAAATCAACTTTCTCCTTAATTTTATCTTATGTAATTTTGATACTAAGATATAATAAAATTATGGCAAACTTTAGGACATTCTGTTTAGATTTGTATTTTATGAATTTTGATATTAAAACAAATACAGTATACTTTAGAAAGTTTTATGGAAATATTTTCTGCAGTTTCAAAAATACATACGTATAAAGATACACTCTAGTTACACATCTGCACTTAAAAATTAAAGTTTACTGCTATATTAGTCAGACTCTCATGTTCATTTTAAGAAAAACACAAGTACTTATCACTGTAACAGCCCTAATATATTTAGCAGTTTTCAAATTGTTTAAATCACAAAATTTATTCTAACAGTAGTAAAAGCTTTTGTTTCAGGGTGTTAGTCTGATATTTATTACATAATTATCTTTTGGCACTGGAAATTTAAAACATTAGTTTCCATAGTTTTTACATGTATGGGACATAATTTTTTTTTTTTTTTTTGGCGTCACGGGCTTGAACTCAGGACCTCATGCTCGCTTGAATCACTCTATCAGCCCTGTTTTATGTCGATCTCTAGAACTATTTGCCCAGGCTAGCTTTGAACCTCAGTCCTTCTCTGCCTCATGAGTAGCTAGGATTACTAGTGTGAGCCACCATCGTGCACCTCCCCACTGCTGTTTTTTTTGTTGTTGTTTCTTGCCATGTTGGGGATGGAACCCAGGGCTTCACACATGCTAGGGAAGTGCTCTACTACTGAGCTATGTCCCTAGCTCCATGTTTATTTTGAATCATGTGACTTATCTGTCTGTGCTGCTCTAACAGATACTAAAAATCAGTAATTTATAATGAACAGAAATTTATTGGTTCTGGGGTGTGAACTCTTAAGATGGAGAGGCCTGATATGGCAAGGTTGTTCCTGCATGTGGCATGGTAGAAGGGCAGAGAGGGAGACAGAGAAAATGGGCACAAACTCATCTGTTCATAAGGAACTTGCTGCTGTGAGATGAATCCCACTCTGCCCTTGTGGTCTGTCGTCTCTTACTAGGCCCCACCTCCACACACTGTTGCATGGGGCATTAATTTTTCAAAACATGCTTTTAAGTAAGAGCAGCATGTTTTGCTATTTTATGTATAACCACCATCCCTTAAAATTTAGTTTAAGGAGTTGGCCCAATGATAGTACAGAAATGAATCTGAATGACAGAAAATTGTTAGAGGAGCAAAGAGTATTTCAAATATAAAAGTAATCCTATACATTATAGAGCCTGGACTGGAAAACATTTCTTTCAAAGAGAATTTGCTTTCTGGGAAAAAGAAACTAGTAAAAAGAATTAAAATTCCATGTGAAGGGAAGAAATTCCTCAAGCAAATTTAATCCAAATGCAGTGATAAGTGAATTCAGGAGCAATGAAGTAGGAATTTGATAAGTGGTTTGAGGTTGGAAAATCTGGGAAGAGTATTAGAAGAGGTCTGATGTCGCAAAAAATAGGATTTAGGTTTAATTTCAAGAGTAGCGTGAAGGGCTGGGGAAGTATGTAGCTCAGTGGTAGAACGCTTGCCTACCATTCATGAGTCTGAGTTGATTTTTTTTTTTGGGTACTGGGGATTGAACTCAGGGCCTCATGCATTCTGAGTTGTTTTTGCTGTGCTGGAGGATCATGAGTTTGAGGCCAACATGGACTCCGTGACCAGATCCTGTCTCACAAAAACAAGACATGATTAATAGTCCGGATAGTGTCCATGAACAGCTTTCTCCGCCTTACAGGCATAGAAATTTAATATTGGGGTCTATAAAATACTCTATTAAGTAAAATAAGATGGGCACAAATAGTCCACCAGGAACTTGTGATGCTCACCATATTACCACATCCTGTTAGTGAGACAATAAAACAAAACAAAGCTGATTACTCTTTAGAGAATCTAACAAAAAACTATGGGCCCGTAATCAGAATCCCCTCTCTCTGGCACGCATGCCGTGCGCACACGCACACGCACACACGCCTGCCCTGCATACAATTTCAGAGAATCAGGAGCTGAAGGCCATGATCCTTTTCAAACAGCCAGTTGTGGTTTGTTGCCATTTGAGTAGTATGGTTTGTTCATGGTTGGTAATACCTTTTTTAGGATCAAACTTGTCCAGAACTTTTTTTGTTTTGTTTTTGTTAAGAGCACCTGCCTACCACGTATGAGGCCTTGAGTTAAAATCCCAGGACTGCTAAAAAATAATAAAGTCACTCATACCATTGCTATGGCGGCTTGGACCAGACATGGAATGCAGCGGATATGTTTGGAGTATGTAATAGGAAATGGTAGGAACCAGTAAGTGAATGGCAGTACAGAATGAGTTAAACAGGAATCAAGGGTTTTACGCTTATGTAGCCTGCTGGATGGTATTATTTATTGACATTGGGGGAGTAAAAGATTTGAGAGGAAAAAAAACAGGTTTTGTGTTCTGAACATGTTAATTTGAGATACCTAGCAAACATCCAGGCAGAGGATCAGAAATCTAGCAGCAGTGATGTGTGGGTTCTCTTAGGGTTGTGGTCAGGTAAGACTGAAGATAACTTTGGAGTCACTACTTTCACCCCACCATAAGACCCAGGAGGGCAAAGTTGTTTTATTTTTTTAAATAAATTTTAAACTTCTAAAGTATAAGATAAAGTCCCCTATTAGCAGCTCAATGAATTTTCAAACTGCGTGCCCAGTGTAATAATATACCAAGATTAAGAAAAAGCCCTACCCCAGAAGCTCTGTTAACTCCTTTTCAATTACAATGCTCCACTCCCTCTCAAAGGGCAATCACTAGTCTGATATTTTTTTTCTTTTTAAAATATATTACCATTATTTCTGATTGACGATCTTACTTGTATAGCTTCACTTCTGACAGTGATGTTTATTTAGTCATGTTTTATCTACTACATAATGGAATCAAAGCATATAATTTTGTATCTGCTTTATTTTATATAGCTTGGTTAGGGCTAGTCTTTGGTACTGTTACTCTACAGTAGTACATGTGAGGATATGTGTATTTATTTATCTGCTGGACTGTGAATGAGAATTGGTATAGTTGCAGTACTTGAGAATTACATACAAATAGTGCTGTTACGAATATACACATTTTAGTACATGGGTTTCTGTTGAATGTATATCTCAAAATAGAATTTCTTAGTCAAAAGATGTATGTTATGCTCAGTAGCAATTTTCCAAAGTGATTGTTTCAACATTTTCCCAGCATGAGTGCCAGCTGCTTATCTTGGAACACAATGATGTTTAAGTTTTGTTCCAGTGCCCAGAACAGTGACATCCTTACTTATATAGCAGACACAGATAGTGTGCAATAAATATCTATTGAAAGGACTAATTTGCCATTTAATGACATGGGCTTGGATGAGAGTATTTTGGAAGAAATATGACTAAATAAGAGGGCTGATGAACCCATGGTTGACTCCCACATTTAGAGAACTGGCAGAAGAGGAGCAAGAATAGAAAGAAAACTGGAGGGCTTTGTGTTCTGTAAACCAAGAGAAAAATGTTTCAAATAGGGCAGTCAATTGCTTTGAATGCTGCTGAGTTCAAGGAATAGGTTTGGGAAAGGAGTAAGGAATTCTATTTTCAGTCATTTCAAGCCCAGGAAACTTAAACATCAGTTGTTCAAATGGAGGCCCCAAATGGGGAGTGGATATAGGAGTCTAGCGTTTAGAATCTAAAATAGAAGTTGGGGGGGGGGCAGGGGGGCTAGAGTGCCTGCCTAGCAAGTGCAGTGTTCAAACCCCAGTACTGCCAAAAAATATAAAGTATGGTATTTGTGAGTGTACATATATTTGTGAAGGAGAGACTACAGATGGAGAAGTTGGGTCCCAGCTTTGGGACATTTCTACTTAGAAGTGGAAATGAAGACACCTGAAAAATGGCCCATGAAGGAGTACATAAATGATGGGTTAGATGTAGCTCAGTGGAACACTTGCCTAGCATGTGACAGACCCTGGCTCAATTCTCAGCACTAAGGGGGTAGGAGAGAAGGGTCTTGTCACTAAGATGACAACATCAATTAAATGTTCTTGTGAACAGAAAAATGACCTTGGGATTGGCCATCAACCAATTAATAAATAACTACCCCAGTCAATGAATACGCTTTGGGACTGGATGTGTAGCTCAGTGGCAGGGTTCATGTTACAGACATGAGGCCCTGGTTCAATCCAGCACCACGACAAAACAAAACCTCTCAAGATCATTTTCAATGCTGCATAAAATTCCATTGTAACAATCCTGAATCTGCTCCATAGTTTCTTGCTGAACCCTTAAGATTCTTCCCAAAGCTTTAGAATTACACTTCTAAGAGTACTGGGGCAAACACTTTTAAGGGTATTTGGGTAAAAAAAGATGCACATTTTAACTTCTCCTACCTTGAAGAAACACAGTAATTGTGAAAACTGTCCATCATTTTGATAAGTGATACGTGGAATCTTATATTTGCATTTTTATTAAGTTTCCCATGTTTATTAGTCATTGGTATCTTTTTATGAATAGCCTGCCCATATCTTTTGCTCCAAGAGTTTTTACTGGGCAAATTGAATGGGAGAACACCCAGAAAACGGAAACGAGGAAAATTAAGACTTAAATGTTGGTTTAGCTAAGTGAACAATGGCACATAAGGTTAGGTTTGAATCAGAGCTTGCGACTGACAACACTGGTTATGTGACCTTGTTAAGTAACTTCTCAGGTACCATATTCCAGTCTATGTAATGGGGATGAGGTTTACCTTCAAGTAATTTAAATTGAGCAGGCTGCAGAAGTACCTGAGTTGCGGCCCAGGAACGTAAAAAACTACAGCAAGTAGGGTGGTTGGAAAACACCACGATGCACGAGACTGTCAGGCGTTCCGGACGGCCGTCCCTCCTCCCGCGTGTTGGTGGTGTTACTATGGCAACAAACACGCGCTGCCCAGCGCTCAATCCTCTGGCCGTTACCTTTCTCCCTGATCACCCTGATCACGGTCGGCTTACCAGGCTCCGCGGCGCATCCTACACACCGGTCTCGGACTGAGCCCGCTCGGGGCCAGGGCAACGAACCGCGGGGCAGCATGGCTAAGGAGGCCGCCTCTTCACCGCTGGAGAACTTGGACCTGAGCGGAGACGAGGTCCAGCGGCTCACCTCCGCCTTCCAGGACCCGGAGTTCCGGCGAATGTTCTCGGAGTATGCCAAGGAGCTCACGGACCCAGAGAACCGGCGGCGCTACGAGGCGGAGATCACCGCCCTGGAGCGGGAGCGCGGGGTGGAGGTGCGGTTCGTGCACCCCGAGCCGGGCCACGTGCTGCGCACCAGCCTGGACGGGTCGCAGCGCTGCTTCGTGAACGTGTGCGGCAATGCGCTGGTGGGCGCGCCCAGCAGCCGGCCGGGCCCGGGGGGCAGCGACGCGGCGCCCGGCAGCCACTGGTCTCTGCCGCACAGTCTGTCCCCTGGCCGCCAGTACGCCGGTCGCAGCGGCTCCCGCTACACCGTCTACGACGTGGTCTTCCACCCCGACGCGCTGGCGCTGGCCCGACGCCACCAGCGCTTCCGCGACATGCTGGACGCTACGGCCCTGGAGGCAGTGGAGCGGCAGTTCGGCGTCAAGCTGGACCACAGGAATGTCAAGACCCTGAAGGTGAAATACAAGGGGACCCCGGAGGCCGCCGTGCTGCGCACACCCCTTCCGGGAGGCGCTCCTGCGCGGCCCGACGGGGAGAAAGAGGGCCCTCTCCCAGGCTTCCCCTACCCCTACCGGTACCCGGCGGCCGGCGACAGCTCAGCCCGCCCCCGGGCCCCGGCGCCGTCCAGTCCGGAGGCGGTGCAGCAGCCCGCCCCCACCGAGCCTCGCTGCAGCGTGGTGCAGCGCCACCACGTGGACCTCCAGGATTACCGCTGCTGCCGGGACTCGGCCCCGAGCCCCGTGCCGCACGAGCTGGTGGTCACCATCGAGCTGCCGCTGCTGCGCTCGGCCGAACAGGCGGCGCTGGAGGTGACGGGAAAGCTGCTGTGCCTCGACTCGAGGAAACCCGACTACAGGCTGCGGCTCTCGCTTCCCTACCCGGTGGACGACAGCCGCGGCAAGGCGCAGTTCAACAAGGCTCGGCGGCAGCTGGTTGTCACGCTGCCGGTGGCGCTGTCCGCCGCGCGCCTGGAGCTCGTCCCGGCGCCGGAAGAGCCCACGAGCCCGTCCGGAACTGACGGCGCGGGAGAGGCGGGACCCACTGAGAGTCTCACGTGCGAGCCAGGTCGGGCTCTCAGCAGAGCCGGGCTGGCCGACGCCGGCATCGGCACCCCAGGCGGCCTCGCGCCTCCGCCGGCGGGCTCGGAAGAGGACTTTGTCCCCGAGCCGGAGGAGCGGGACTCGGGCAGGGACTCCGTGTCGCCGCCGGGCCCCGAGGAGGAGCCGCCTCCTGAAGCGTGGAGCCCGCCCCGGGAGGCCGGCGGAGGGTCCGACTGGGAGCCCCCTGCTATAAGAGGCGACGCGCGTGGGGAGCCCGGTGCAGAGGCGCGCCCGGAGCCGGAGCGCACAGGCGGCCAGCTCTCGGGTCCAGCCATGGCCTGCCAGGGGATCCGGAGCCATGAACCCTTGTGTCCGCCGGTGCACTGCGATCAGGACGAAGAGTCCTTGACCCTGCTGATTCCAGTGCCTCGGATTCAGCCGCAGAGTCTTCAGGGGGATCTGAACCCCTTCCGGTACAAACTGTGCTTCTCCTCGCAGGACTTAGTTTATTCCTTCTTTTTGCGATTTGCTCCAGAGAATAAATTGAGTACCAAAGAACCTGAGACTAGCGTTTCTTCAGACAACGCGGTGATAGTACTGGCCAAATCCCCAGAAAGCCACGGCCATTGGCGAGAGTGGTATTGTGGCTTAAACAGCGATTCTTTGGAGGTAACAGTTATTTGTAGAATCGTAATCTTTGCAATGCCCCGTCCCACCTTTAAAATTTGCTGTTATGCCTCTCATAAAGCATTCTCCCTAACTCTTCACGGGATGAAAGATACTGTGTGTTAAATAACATTTTCAAAAAAGGATTTTTTTTTTTTAATTCCCTCTGGAGGATAGTTTTCAGATTTCAAAGTCGCCCTAAAGCAGCTGTTTTCTGGAGGCCCACTGACTCCGAAGGCGACTGAATGGGTTCTCAGTGGCCTGGAGTTGTATGCCTCTTGGAGAAAAGGGCTGTGAAAATCATGTGCTGGAAGGGGTTTGTGACCCACGAAAGTTTAACTTGGGAATCCCTTTTTCGAGCTTAGAAATTTCTGTAAGTACTAGTAATGTTTCTGGAGAGGAAAAGGAACTCAGCAGTACTTCGCATTTCTTAGAGAAACAAGCTGAGTCCCCATGCTCTTTCGGCGGTAGGGTGCTGCTTAATTTTAGTTGCCGGTATTTCTGAAGTGCTTCTCTGGTGGGCATCGAAAATTTATCTCCTTGCATTTGTTTTCATCGTCTTTAGCACCCTCCTACTGTTTAGCACAGTGGTTGGCATTTAACGAGGTGTAATTGGTATTTGTTAAACTGCACACAGCACCTAAATTTAGGCTGCACTTCTGCGCAAACACTGCAGAACTCGGCTGAACCATCTAGCTTACTTAAGATAACATTTTTTGTTTATTTTGTTTTTTTGCGGTATTGGGGTTTGAATTATGGGCTTCGCACTTGGTAGGCAGGTACTCTACCACTTGAGCGATGCCTCCAGGCCCAGGATACAGTTTTGATGTCCTGTTGTTGTGCTATGCTTTTTAGGTTTCTGAGGTTCTTGAATTTCAGATCCAGTATTCCATTGTTATTGGCAAATGCTGAAAAAAAGAACTTTAAAAAGTTTGAAGTTCTAAAGATTTTAAACCCATAAAAGAACAACTGGTGATTTTGATTGAGGTCTGTAATAAAGTTACATGTAATCTTTAGGTTTTTTTTTTTTTCAACATTCAAGAGTCCAAGAGTCCAAGAGTGTAGCTCAGTGGTAGAGCATTTGCCTGGGGATTGGGACACAGTCAAGTTCCCACAAATAACACTAGTTGCACAGATTAAAAATTAAGTACTTGACCTTGAGATTTAGCTAGGTCTTCTAGAAAGTTGCTAATGTTACATCTATAGTTTATAAGTTGGGTATCTGTGGGAAGTAGTTGAAGCCTGCTTAAAAAAATGAATAGTCTGGCTAGCTAAGATATTTTGTGAAACTATAAGACACAAAATTGAATATGTTTATGCTATCAAAAGGGAGTATTTAGGAAAGGGAAGTTGTTTTCCTGTAATTGTTTTAGTAAATATGAAAATAACTCGGACTGGGGGTGTGGCACAAGAAGTAGAGTGCTTGAGTCCCTGAATTCAATCCCAGTACCAGCAAAAAGAGAAAAAAATCAAAACAAAAAAACCCTCAAACTGTGTGGAAAGAAAAGTTTATGGGTAAGCAGTTAAGAGAATATCCAACAATGTTTTTTAAGCCTTTTTCTGCTCCCTGTCCAAGATGATGTCAACTCCTTTGCTCCACCATGCCCAAAGACAATTACTGACTGAGTCCTCTGAAACCCAAAGCTATTAAGAAAGAGAAGCTGAAGACAGAAGCGGCATCAAGGTCTTTCAGTGGAAGATAACTGCAGTGAAATAACCCTTGCCTTTCTGAAATACTTAGAAATAGGCAGAAAAAATGAAGAGACAGAGGGAAGAGGTGTAACTCCCAAACCTGAATATGGAATATAATGAAGTCACTAGGTTATCTTGCTAAGCAAATGTTTCAGCAAATTGTTAGCCACTTCATTTAAATATGTGATTTTTATGCCAGTGGTGCTTCATAGCTGGATTTTAAAATTATTTTATTTTTATTTTTTTGCAGTACTGGGGTGTGAATTCAGGGCCTACACATTCACATTCCACCAGCTGTTTTTTTTGTGATAGGTGTTTTCTAGACAGGGTCTCACAAACTATTTCCGCAGGCTGTCCTCCTGAGTCACTGGGATTGCAGGTGTGAGCCACTGGCACCCAGCCATAGCTGGACATTTTAATTCAGTAACAGAATGTAGGCATTGATGGGATCAAACTTCACAGTCCAGTGGCCTTCTGAGAACTGACATTTTATCCTCAGCTCCCTCAGGGAATTCAAGGTGTCTAGACAATTTCAACATCTGTGAAAATTTCATTATAACCAGCTAAGAGCACTGGTTTTTCAAACCTCTAGAAGTCTTCAGGAGAGCTTGAGCATTTTCTCTTAATTACTCTGTTCTTCCTACAGAATTTTTTTTTTTTTTTTTGATACTGGGGTTAGAACTTAGGGCCTTGTACTTGTTAGGCAGGCACTCTACCACTGGAGCTATGCCTCCAGCGCTCCTAAAGAATATTTTAAAATTAGGAATGCATCATATCGTGTATTTTAACTCAACTTTTGTTTGTGGCATCTAGAGGGGGTTTTTTAATTTTTTTTTTCCCGTACTGGGGCTTGAACTCAGGGCCTACAACTTGAGCCATTCCACCAGCTTTTTTTGTGATAGGTTTTTTCGAGATAGGGTCTCCCAAACTATTGGCTTGGAACCAAGATCGTCCTATCTCTACTTCTTGAGTAGCTAGGATTACAAGCGTGAACCACTGGTGCCCGGCTAGAGGGCTCTTAAAAATACAGTAAAATTTGAATTAAAATTTCACAAAAACTCTTAAAGGATAATTACATAATCTGTGAATCCTCTTTGGAAAATATTTTGGAGTTTGAAAAGGAACACTGATGGATTCCTGCAGACAAAAGTTGGAGAAGAGTATCTGAGCTGGGTGGGAAAGACAAACAAAAATACACATTTTAACTTGATTTTCTAGTATGTAACATTTTAGTAAAAAACTAAACCTAGATAGGATTAAGGTAACTGTGTTTTACCTTAATAACTTCGACCATCATCACATTTGCTAGGGATGATGGGACCATGATGTCTAATTCTTTTTTCATATGCTGTACTAGACCAGGCCCTAAGAATTGGGCACCGTGGTTCATGCCTGTAAACCCAGCATTGGAGGCAGGAGGGGTGAGTTCAAGTCCAGCTTGGTCTATATATACAGCAAGATCTTGTCAAAAAAAAAAAAAAGTCCTGAGTAGTGAGTAGGAGGTATGTGATTATATTATTACATATGTAAGTAATCATAATGTAGACTTTTCTGGCTCTCAAAACCAGTGTTGTCATTTTACACCTAAAAAGTACTTCATTATTTAAGCCTTAAACATTCACTGAAGGTTTTCCTAGATCTTTAGGGCAAGTTCAACAACTTTTAAAATCAGTCCTTAGAATGAGAAGGCAAGTTCATGCAAATCTTCTGTATTTTAATCATGACCATTTCCATAATGAATATTTCCTTTTGAGTTGACTGAAACATTAAAATATTGGTGTATTTGCAACAAAAAGGAATGTCTTTTTCAGAGGCATAAACCTTAGGAGTGCTTTTGATGGGGTTTTGTTTAATACAGTGTTCTGGATAATTACTCTAAATGTAAAGGTTTTGGCTCCCAGGCTCTTGTATTTGGTAGGTGCACTCATGTTCAAACACTGTATAATAGAACTTGAAGCTCATCTCTCATTTTGTCCCATTTACACCTAGTAATATGTGCTTATTCTGTAATTTTAAAATTTGCTATATAAAAGGACAGAGGATATAAATTTTATTTTGAGAGATAATGAACTGATTGTATTTGTTCTATTAAATATGGTTAGTATCATTAGCCCCCCACACCCAAACTATAACATACACAAGTATGAACAAATTGTTTTTGTGTTTGGGATTCAGGTGAGTAATTTTTTAATATTCTAGTGGTGGCTTCCATGTTAGCGTCTTGAAATTTACCTCAGTCTTATGATTATATGTTTGTGTCAAACTGAAATATCTCATTTCTTCAAAAAGAATGTACTTCCTTTAAATAAAATATTATAATTGGCTCTTACATAGCCAAGAACTTAAAAGGCAAACTGGTCACACAATGTTTGAACAGATCCTGTCATGTATGTTGCTTAGCTCATTAGGAATTATTCTAAAACTGAATTATATTTTATAGCTAGGATTGTATTTACACCTGAGAAGTGAAGTTATTCTTAAGAAATACTAAGAAAAAATTATTTGTAAGTTAATTATCTGGAAGAGAAAAACCATCTCATATTTAATAAACTTAGAAAAAGTACCAACTTTTTTTTTTAGGTTTTTAAAAATAAACTTTTAACACACAAACACATACACACACTCTTGTAGTTTGTATTGTTCTGTACTAGATTTTCTTTTTCCAAGATATACACAGAAATTTTTTTTTTTTTTTTTTTTTTTTTTGGCAGTGCTGTGGTTTAAACGAAAGGCTTCCTGCTTGTGAGGCAGGCACTCTAAAAGTATAACCCTGAACTGTGTGAGAATTTTTGTGAGCTGCTTTTAGGTACAACTAAGGTGTGACTTATAATGCCTAATATTTTTTTCCCTTTAACTTTAGGAAAGGTTGTTTGTCAATGAAGACAATGTTAATGACTTTCTTGAAGAGGTCCTGAGCTCTCCATTGAAACTGGCAACTCCTCCGACTCCACCATTAATTGAAGTTCTTCAGGTTACTGATGAGAAGATTCAAATTCATACAAAGGTAAGATTTTGGTGGGCTTTATAGAGGAGTGATTACTGGCAAGGTTAAAGCTTAACAATTTAAATTCTTGATTTCTTAATGTCATAACTTTAAACAGAATGTATAATGGCTGGGCAGAGTGATGTTAAGAATTTGTCTATTTTTTACTATGTGCTAAACACTCCACTATTTACTTTCACATGTGGATCTTATTTAATTCCAAACTAAATCTCCAATTAGAATAAAATATTTAGGAAGTTAAGTTTGTCCAGGGATAAACACTAACCTTTGACTCAAATCATAGAGACTGTATCATAGAATTTGTTCACATTCCATTTGAACCTTCAGTTTAGTTATTTTTATAGTCTTCAATATTGGACATAAAAATAATTTGGCACTGCTGGTTGACATATGAATTGGGGAAAGAGTAGCTCTGAAGAATCACAGAAATTCAAGAGAACTCAAGAAGTTCAGTGATGACCTTGCAAGAATGACTGTCACAGGGTTTGTAGGCAGTGTTAAAAAGTTTGGAACATTTTATCCTGAAGGAGTAGATGAGCAATTGAAAGGATTTAATCAGAAAATTAAAGCCAGGTTTATATTATTAAAAAATGACTGTCAGCATGATTGAGGGGGGAGACTGGAAGCATATCTGCAGGTTAGCAATGGTTATTACCACACAACTTTTTTTAGCAGTATGATTTTCAGAGGGTACTACAAATTAATATCTATTATTTCAAATTACTAATTTGTTGTTTCTCTTGATACAGTTGCTGGAAAGTAGTAATCCTGATCAGCTTCCAGGAAAGGAAAAAAGAGTCAATGAAGGATGTCATTTAACTGAAGATGAAAATACAGATCTTACCATCTCTACAATGCATTCTGATTCCTCTACAGTAGTTAAAGAACTAAAAATAGATACTTGTAGATTAGTTGCAGGCTTGCAACAAGAGTCTCTTGATGTTTCTCAAGTGCTGTTTGAAAAATCTCAGCAACCTGAGGCAAAAATAGAACCTGAGTTTATAAAAGAGAAGACTGCTACTTACTCACATGAGGAAAAAGATACTATGAAAGAACCACTAATATCCAAAGAAAAAGAATTAGGTGGAGATCATCTGTCTTCACAATTGAACAAAACTATAGTTCACACTATACCAGATGTTGACAGCATAAAAGAAACCAATATGCAGGATGGTAGTGTGCAGATTATTAAAGATCATATAACTCACTGTGCATTCAGTTTTCAAAATTCTTTACTATATGATTTGGATTAATTCTATATAATTTGGGAAATTGAATGTTAGGAGTAAAAAGTTTCTGTTCCTAAACTAGCTTCTGTTAATTATTAAAACTCAAGATAGGGCTGGAGGTGTGGCTCAAGCAAGAAGCAAACCCCAGTACCACAAACACAAAACCCTGATGATTCGGTGTTGACCTTTAAGCCGATGCCTTCAAATCTTGTACATTACCCTTCTGATGTAAAATGTAACAAAAACTGAAGATATTCAGTAATGTATAAAAAAATTAAAATTTGCAATTCTGATTCCAGTGGGAAAATGAGGGTTTTCTTTTTTGTTTTCATAAACAGTTAATTATGAAGTTTTGTAATTCCTTTGGGTAGAAGTGGTTTTTTTTTTCTTCACTACATCCCGTATCTATTGACTTCTGTGTTGAATTTTACTTTTTTAACATTAATAAAATTTCCAAACACTTAAGTTTTATTAAAAATTCTCAAGAATGCAACTAACTAGAAATATGAATATGTGCATGGGAAGTAGTAGAATTTCAAAACTATTTGTAAGTCTCACTAAATAGGAGGTATTTATGCTGCAAATAGAGGTTCTTACAGGGCAATTTCTTTCATTCTACCTAAAATAAGAGGCAAAGAGAAAACTGCAACTGGTCTTTTAAACTCAAAAAATTTAGGACTAGGGGTGTGGCTAAGGTGGTAGAGCTCGTGCCCTGAGCTCAAAAGTACCCCTCTCCCAAGAAAAAAATGACAACAGCATGAAAGAAAATGTAGAGAAGTAGTATTTGTTGATCTAATCACTAACCCCAAGGCCATAGCTGATTATTTATGTTCCAGACATGGGTAATAATTCAAACTCTTACTTTACTAGCTCACTCCTGGTAATTATCTAGTTTCTTTAGTCATTTTAACTAGTAAAGTAAGGAAATCACAATCTTGTATAAACCCTGGTGATTCATCCAGATTTGTATTTATAGCCCACTCCCTCCCATAAAAATTAGCACTATGGGCTGGGAATATAGCTCCAGTGGCAGAGTGACTGCCTAGCTTGCATTAGGTTTTGTAATCTCAGTAACCAAAAAGTTGAAGATGGAGGATTCCAACTTCAAGGCCAGCCTGAACTACATATAGAGGCAAGCCTCAAAACAAAAGTTAAAAAAAAAAAAAACCCAAAAACAATCTGGAAGGAGATTGGGATGTGGGGGTAGTATAGAAGTAACTATAAAGCAAGAGAATGATTTGCCTCATCTCAGCACATTTTTCAACCAAACTACAAATATAAAAATTGATGCAGTAATAGCTTTGAGACTGTTTTCTTAGGTTCAAATGACGAACTAATATCTATGCAGAAATTATCTTCTATGAGTAATCTTATATGGTGTACATTTTAAGATTGTTTCCTATTTACTATATCTGTTCTTAAAAAAAAAAAAAAGATATTCCAGGGCTGGGGATGTGGTACAGCAGCAGAGCATGCACGGCCCGGAGTTCCATCCCCAGCACAGCAAATAAAAATTCAGTTAACGCTGGCATTAGAACGCTTGCACTTTGGCATGACTGAACTTTGTTATCATTTCTGGCCTTCAGAAACAACTTAGGCTGTATTTCCCTTACAGAGCGATTTTTTTTTTTCCATTATCTATACCTGGCTAATTTGAAAGCGAAATACTTTCTTCTGAAGAGAATGCATTGTCATGAGCAGGGTTTTATTTAAACTCATACAATGTATAGCTGATAAATATTAAGATGTAATGCTAGGGTTCAAAACTTCTGAAATGCCTTTACTAGGATAAAGCATAAATACAACATTCTGCAAAGTGATTAGGAACCTTTTTATGCAAAAATGAGAATATTTATTTTGGCAGCTCTAAATGAAAAAAAATCAAAACAACTGTATTTCTACATTGAGGTGAAAACAATGTTCAAACTTTCTTGTCAATCAAATACATTCCAAAAGATAAGTGTGTTCTAGGAAGGTTCCAAAGCACAGGCAAATCTTTTTAACACAATAGTATAGGAATCTGTAATACCAAAAATGACTGTTCTGACAGGGTGTAACACACATAACTTTTGAGTAATTAAATCAGTGAAGCAACCCCTTCCTAATAACTGTGCCAAGAGTGAAACGGCTTGTTTGATTAATACTCTATGATTTCATTGTAATACTTTTTACTGCTGTGACAGCTTTAAATAAATTTTGCTGTACTTAAATTCTGAAAGTGGAAAAGTGTACAAAGTTTTGGATACAAAGATTAACAGATGCAATTTAAATGCAATTTCCCTATCAATGAACAATAATCATTAACCTTTAGCAGACAGAATGAACTTTAAACCTCACTCCCCAAGTGACCATTTCAATTTTAAATCTTAATCAGATATAACTGAAAAAGATCACTATATATTTGGACACCTTTTACAAGAAAAAATTTTTTTTTGTCTTAAAGCAGAAACCAGTTCCTAAACTCCTTTATTCAATTGTATGTCCCGTTGAGACAAATATCAAAAAATAGAAGACTGTCACTTTTGCTTTTGTGATTTTTTTTTTTTTTTTTTACTGCAGTCTTCTATAGCTTTTACACAGTTCATGGTCCCTAATATCTCCCCACCCTCCATTTTTTCTAGGTGGGGAGATGGCTACCATAGGAAACTTATCACTGATTATTAGAGTTTCTGGAAACAGGAACTGTTTATTATTTTTTAAGAGTGACTCAATTTGGGCACTCTGGGTGGATGGCCTACATGTTTTCTTGTGATGCATACCACAGTCTCCAGCATGAAAGATCCTAGGAGCTCGAGGAACCAGCACTTTCCAGAATCTTGGAAGACAAGATATAGTCAAATATTGAAGAGTCCAGTCCCAGTTATAATCATCGTAAGTACAGAAAGTGTCTGTGCACTCAATCAGCTTCTGATATGCATCCCGGGTCAAGGCTAAACCCATATTGTGCTCTGTGGATTTCCAAGTTTTCACATCTACCTTGTCAGCAATGTCATAGAAACTACGACTGGCAGTATAGGTCCCCAGTGAGAGTACATCACACTCAGGACATTCCATCTGCTTCAATTTCCACATCTTTTTGAAGATATGGTAAAAGTCTGGGGCTAAGTAATGATCCTCTTCCAGGAAAAGAATAAGGCCAGAGTAATCTCGAAGAACTTTGACCCTTTCCCATACAAAATGCAGCTTCCACCACCAATGATGTTTGGTTTGGGAGAATTTGGCCTCTCTGTAATGGCCGAAGGAATCGGGATACTCAGCATTAATGCACCCCAATTTCAAAGCTGCATTCTTCTTCAGGTCTCTGGGGCAATCTCTGGGGTCACTGCCAGGAAACTCGTTGGGGTACAGCTGAATGCTGAAAGGGAAAAACACCTGAAGAACCGGACAGAAATCCACTCCAGCGATCAGCTGGTTGATCTCTGTCGACCAGAAGTCGTGGCTAAAGATGACGAGGACGTTGTCAATGCCCTGGGCTTTCCGGAGCGAGTCCAGCAGCAGTCTGAGGTACTCGGGCCGGTTATGCACCTGGACCACCAGCACCAGATCCCGGGGGACCCAGGTGCCAGCCTTCTCCACGTTCCTCAGCGTCTGATCAAAGTTCAGTTGGTACACCAGGGACCGGTACCGCAGCGTCTGGTTGTCCGCCTCGGGTTGCGGGGCCGCGGGGACCAGGGGAGCCGCCGACTCGTTGGAGACCCTGCGGATGCCCACGGACACGGCGGGATGGTCCCCGCCCCGGCCGCCCGCACCCCGCGCAGCCTCGGCGTCCAGCAGCGGCGGGGCCAGGGCCTCGTTCTTCCTTTGTCGCCCATTGCTGCTCCAGAGGACGAAGCCGCAGGCGGCCACCACGAGCGTCAGGATAAGCACCTTCCGTTTGTAGATGCGGAACCTCATGGTCTCCAGGGCCGGCGGGCAAGAGCGCAAGGGAGCTAGCGGCCTCTGCACGGAAGGGGCGGCGGGTGGCGGCCACAGCCTTGGCCTGTAACCGTAGGAACTGCCCCCCGCGGCTGCCCTCGCTAACTCATTTCGGGCCCCGGGAGTCCCGGGGCCCGAAGGCTCTCAGCTGCTCCGCGTCGTCCGGGCTCCGCACATCCTCGCCTGGCAGCTGCAGCTCGAACAGTGGCCCCGCCGCTAGGAGCCGCGGCTCGGCGCCGCCTCGGTCCTCTCCATTCAGCACCACGGGTCCCGGAAGAAGCCCAGCCGCGGCCCCAATTCACCCTAGCTTCGTTACCTGCGCCTCCAGCCAACCTGCATCCTCTGCGCTTTCATCCTTACTCCGGCCCCAGACCGCCAAGACCCAGCGACGCAGCCTCGCCCCACTACAGCGGCGACCGTTCTGACAACCCGCGACTGGCCCGAGGAATGCCGCGGCCCGCTGGCCCACACCCCTCCAGCCCGCCCTACAAGCCGTTGATTGGTGCTTCCCAGAGGCACTCGGCGGAGCCTCGCCGACCTAGCCCGCAGCCTATTGGCTGGCAGTCCCGTCGATCAAGTTCAGTTCCTACTTCCGCCTCGTTGGTCCTTTTCCTGTAAGCTAGAGCGGCGCAAGGTGAGGATCGCGGACGCCACATCTCCCGGTAAGTCACGAAGGGGACCTTAGCGGGTCCAATAGGGGCCCTCATTGATCAGAAACCTGGGCCCAACTAGGCCTTTGCATGACAGGGAGGGCGAGACCCGCCTATCTGGCGTGGTGGAGTTGAAGAGCTGGCCTACCCTTTTGGGTCGGAGCTCACGCATGGCGGCTACTGGGCCGCGAGGCACGCGAGCTGAGGGACACGTCAGCTCTCCGGACTGCTGACGGGTAGCTCCGCTTCGGACGGGAAAGTGAAACCGGACCATGTGGTTCTCCAAGAAGAAACAGGGCGGGTAGTAGCAGAAGCTGTTAGGCCTCGACTGCACCAGGCATACCTAGGAGCCAGAAAATGGAGGAAGTGGGCGTGGGGCAAGAGTCTAGGGACACTTATTTACCACCCATCCCTGTCCGCCGAAAGAAGTTAAACATTGCTTTTCTTGTGGGCAGCCACATTTAAGGTAAGCGAACCCGCCTTGTACGGAGAACTGACTCCTGGGCCCTCCCAGTGCTGTAGCCTGTTTTTTGTTTTCCTTTTTCGAGACAGGGCCTCACTATGCACTCCAAGCTGGCCTAAAATTGGTGCTCCTCCTGGCTCAACCTCCCGAGTGCTGGATTACAAGCGTGTACCACCGCGCCTGCCATTTTAATGTATTTTTAGTGCGTCTCGTTTTGTAAATGCCCTAGTTATGGTTTATGCATGGGCTGTTGGGGAGCCAGCCCAGGGCCTAGCATGTGCTAGGCAAATACTCCGCCTCAGACCGTCCAGTAATTTAAGCATTCTAAAAAGGTGTGCACTTGCATATATATATATATGTATATTCATGTGGAAAGAATACTTGTTGGACTCCACGTTATTATTGTTTTGATCAGTGTCGTTTTCTTGTAAATTTGTTCGCATGGCACATACGTGTTTCATAACGTTTAATGTCTGTTTCCTTATTTTAAATATTTTATTACACTTTCCATTGTGCACACAGCTCTACTGCAAAAATGGTCAATGTACCTAAAACTCGAAGGACTTTCTGTAAGAAGTGCGGCCAGCATCAGCCTCACAAAGTGACCCAGTATAAGAAGGGGAAGGATTCCCTGTATGCCCAAGGAAAGAGACGCTATGATCGGAAGCAGAGCGGCTATGGTGGGCAGACAAAGCCAATTTTCCGGAAGAAGGCTAAAACCACAAAGAAGATTGTACTGAGGCTTGAGTGTGTTGAGCCCAACTGCAGATCCAAGAGGATGCTGGCTATTAAGAGATGCAAGCATTTTGAACTGGGAGGGGACAAGAAGAGAAAGGGCCAAGTGATCCAGTTCTGAGCGTTATGATTTTTTTTCGGTCTTAATTTGAGGGGAAGATACTGACGCTATAGAAAAATTGTTGGAAAATAAATTAGTGTCAAGCCCCAGACGTCTTGTGTTTTTTTTATTTTTTATTTTTTTTACTTAATAGAATTGCACGGGTTAGGTACTTTTTCTTTTAATGTAGTTCTTAAGGGAAATGACAGTAAATTCTTTGGAAGTGAATTGAATACAGTTCATCTTCCAGAGTTCTATTTACATTTAGTTTCCAAGAATTGGAGTTTTCTATTTATAAGACAGGAGTCCTGCCTCAAACTTTATAACCAAGTTACACAGTCACTACAGTAGGAGAAAAAAACCTACTTTTTAACTCTTTTCTGGACAATTTCACAGAGTAGATACCCCCACCCATACCTGAAACCTCGACTAGAATTTTTTCTATATATACACACACGATAAGGCTTCATTTATAAATTAAGCATAGTAAGAGATTAAGAAGAAAGTAGAACCGGGTGCTGGTGGCTCATGCCTCTAATCCTAGCTACTCAGGAGGCAAGAGATCAGAATGGCAATTCAAAGCCAGCCTGGGCAAGCAGTTCACAAGACCCTATCTTGAAAAAAAACCCATCACAAAAATGGGCTGATAGAGTGACTGTGATGTAGTCAAATTCAAACCCCAGTACTGCACAAAAAAAGGTTAAAGTAGAAAAACTGTTAGGATTATTCTGTAATAGAGTTCTCAGACACAAGCACTGCTATAGTGTGACAGTTGATCCAGTAACAGATGGCTATGAATGGCAGGTAGTATATATTCACTGTGGATATACTGTACAAAGAGATTCATGTCCCAGGCAGGATGACACAAGATTTCATAATGCTACTCAGTGGCTTGCAATGTAAAGCTTATGAATTGCTTATTTCTGCTAACTACTTTCAGACTCAAGTTAACCTTGGGTAACACTGAACAAGGGAGGCCTATTGTGTTAAGTGAATTCATAATTAACATTTAAGAATTTACTATCAGGGCACCCAGTCTTGGGACCCTCTCCCCTCCAACTCTAGGGGCTCTACCACTTTACACTTTCAATACACTGCAGCTTTATACTTAAAAAAAAAAAAAGAATTCACTGCCAATACAAATTTAAATGCAAATTATTCCTCTGGACCTATGCTTTGTCTCAGAGAATCAGTTCTGAGTAGAAACTTTATTCATGTTTAAATATGAGTTTAATGTGCTTGGAATCAAACCCAGAGCTTTGTACATTAGAGGCAAGTGCTCTACCACTGACCTATAACCTCAGCTCTGAATAAAACTTCAATTAAAAAGTGTAACATTTAAAAAGCTTACTCAGGAATATTTGAATTTTTAGAAGAAAAGCCCCAAATGGGAAACATTTTAGGAAGCAAAGGAGTTACTTGGAAAGTCTAGAGATCCTGCCTCAAAGCTCAAACAGCAATAATATGCTAACACTCTTAGGGTTTTCTCCAACAACTTTATTTTCCTTTATTTTCCAAAAACAAGTTATGAAGTTATTACAATTGGAATGAATAGAAGACAGTACAAATTTCTACTTCCAAGATTCTTCCAAGTCAGTTCCTTTTCCCCTCGTCTTTGATCAAATAAATCATCAAGCATTTAGTGACAACAAAAAATAAACAGTTAAAAAACAAAACCCCTCAATACAGTAAAAGTGTATAACAACCTTCTGGTCCCCCTCTCAACTCTAAAAGTAAAATAATGAAAAATCAGGCTAGAGGCATGGCTCAAGTGTTAAAGCATCTGCCTAGCAAGTGTGAAGCTCTTGAGTTCAAACTCCAGCACCACCACCAAAACAACACAGCAAAGATTATGTGAAGGACATTTTAGAATTTGTAAAAACAAGTCTGTCTGTCCCAAAGCAATTATTTAATGCTTGGTGAATATAAATTCCACATGTAAAATAGGCATGAAAAACACAAAAGTGGGACATTCAACATCTTACACGGACTGAGTAGTTCTTAACTGAGCAGTCTGAGACCAGAAGTGTTCTGGAATTTTTTTTTCAGATTTTGGAATGTTTGTATATACAAAATGAGACAGTTATCTTGGAGATGGGACCCTAGTTTAAAGTCAAGATTCATTTGTTTCATTTATACTTAACACACAAAGCCAGAAGGTAATCTCACAAAATATTTTTATCATACCTATGCTTTGACTAGGACCTGTCATATGAGGTAAATTGTGCAATTTTCCACTTGCGGTATGTTGGTGCTCATACTTTTTTGGATTTTGAAGCATTTGGATTAGGGATGCTCAACCTGTATGTTGTAACAAGTTTTCACTCATTTAGAACATTACTCCTTCTAAGTACACTTTTTGGATACAAAAACTCAATTTTTTTCATTGAAATGCCAGTAAGTTGATAAGTCTTAGTGTCCAAAAGGTAAGAATCAACACCTGTTTAACATTAAAGATAACCCTTCTTGTGCAAGGCTCTCGGTATGATCCCTAGCACCTCAAAAAAGATAACTTACAACCCATCCAAGAAACTTTAGGCTGAAATCAATACAACAACACATGTATCTAAGTTAAATTCAGGGTTTCTTTTTGTTGTTCTTTTGGATATAGGGTTTTACTATATAACCCAGATTGGCCTCAAACCTACCTATAGCCCAAGCTTGCTTCAAATTCAGGATTCTCCTTGCCTCAGGCTTCCCAAGTGCTGGGATTACACATGTATACCACCATGGCTTGTTCTAAATTTGGTTTCAATGAAATAGAATCAAATGATGTTAGAATACACAGTCCTCTTTACAAGCAAGTATACAAAAGCTTCCCTTATGATTTGACAGTTAAATCATAAATCCAAAACTGATCTGTAACTAAACAAATTTTTCTGGTATCACCAATTACTTTAACATATCAGAGGAATTTACAAAACAGGCTAGAGAACAATAGTAGGAGATAATAGGTGCTTCAGTTCCACCCATATTATCTACTAAGACCACAGTGTGAGCAACACAGTGTAGATTCATGGTGGTAGTTGCTTGAATAAAAGAATTTAGACAAAATCTTCCACAAACACAGGTTTTTGCAGTATCCAAATCTTGACAAAGATGGAAAGGAATGATATGAGAGCCATATGGAAGCCTATTGGGGAAAAAAATTGAAAAATATTTTATGCTACTAATTCAGAACTTTATGTATTATTAGGACAAGAATTGTTAGAACACTCAATTATAAAGGCAGAAAAATTAAATTACTACTTAAGGGACTCAGTATATTATTTTATCTTCCCAAGTGGTAAGAATGGGACAAATACACTAAAAAACAGTCTACGGCATGCTGTGAACCTAAAGAGGTCTTACCAATTCATGAAGTATCTTTCAGCATGACAATCTAACAGCATACTAAACAGAATGAAGTCATTTGTCCTTTACATGTATTTAAAATATCTAATACATAAGGGCCCATCTCTAGAGATTATGAACTCGCTGATTTGAGGTGGAATCTAAGCATCTATATCTCTCATCTATATTATTTAAAGGCTCGTCTCCAGCTAATGATAGCATTGATTGATCTCTATTTGCCAGATTAGCAAATATTATTCATCCACTAAGTAGGTATTGAGACCTCTCATAAGCAATTATATATATGGCTATTTAGCGGGCAAATCTTAACTCCCAGTTAAGGATCGGTGCCTTTAACCTTAACTGGTTCTTAAAGTGTGGTCCACTGAGTAGCAGCATCAACATCACCTAAGAATTTGTTAGAGCTGCAACTTCTTCAGCCCTATTCCAAGCATACTGACTCCAAATCTGAGGGTGTAGACCAGCAGCCTTTTTAAAATAAGCACTTTTTCAACAACCATGATTCTGACGCACTCTAAGTTTTGAGAATCACTGCCTTAAAACAATAGTGAGCCCTTAGTTACTTTTAGAGCCTCAGTATTAATTAGTAATTAGTAGTTAATACTTCCAGGAGGTACCAAAGTCTAACCCAGGACCTCAGCTTCACCTGCAAGCTTGCTGGAAATGCAGGAGCTCAGTCCCAGACCTCCAAAACATAATTGGTCAACAAAACTCCCAGGTGATTTGAACATACATTAGAGAAACATGAGTAAAACTGAGGTTCTTAATTATACTAGTTGTAAGTTAGAATTACCTTAGAAATTAAAAAAAACAAAACTGAGTCCTATGTTCAGATGCTTGATTTAATTAGTCTGGAATGGAGAATGATCATCAGAAATTTTAATAGTTGCACAGGTTATTCTAAATAAGAAGCAAAGTTTGATAACCACTGCTTTGTGATATGACTTAACACTGGGGATAACAAGAAGGGGGGCTGAATTGGATTTTATTTGGGGCTATGAACATTACAAAGTATGCAAAATTCTGTGTATTCATTTGTACATGTTTCTGTATCCTTACCTTTGATCATTAAAAAAAAAACCTCCTTTTTCCCTTAAATAAAAGTTAAGAGGCTGGGAATGTAGCTCAGTGATAGAGTGCTTGCTAACATACCAAAGGCCTTGGGTGACATCCCCAGAACAACAAAAGAAAAACAACAAAAAAAACCCGGCTTTTGCTCAGGAGGCTGAGGCAAGAAGATTTTGAGTTCAAGGCCAGCCTGGGCTACACAGTGAGATCCTTTCTCAAAAAACAAAAGTTAAGAATCCCTTCTTTGAAATAGGATCTCCCTACTGCTTTGCAGGCACTCAATAATTCTTTAGCTCCCACCATTTCCACACCTTCAAAAGAAGAATGAGCCAAGCACTGTGGCTCATGCCTAATACTTGTAATCCTTGCTTGGGTATAAATGGGAGACCCTACTCTATTCCCTATTTAAAAAAAATGAAGCAAAAAGGGTTAGGGGCATGGCTCAAGTGGTGGAGTGCCTGCCTAGCAAGCTTGAGGCCCGGAGTTCAAACTCCTGTACTACACACACAAACACAAAGCATGAAGAGCTAGGTGCCGATGGCTCACACCTGAAATCCTAGCGACTCAGGAGGCAGAGATCAGGAGGATCATGGTTCAAAGCCAGCCTGGGCAAATAGTTTGCAAGACTCTATCTCAAAAAAACCCATCACAAAAAAGGGCTGGTGAAGTGGCTCAAAGCGTAGGCCCTGAGTTCACCTGAGTTCAAGCCCCAGTACGGCCAAAGAAAAAAAAGTTCGTGAGACCCTATCTTGAAAAACCCTTCACAAAAATAGGTTCAAGGTGAAGGCCTCAAGTTCAAGCCCCAGTACCGTTTAAAAAAAAAAGCATGAAGAAAATGAGTCAATGGAATTTACAGACTCATGAAACCAAACTGCAGCTAGCGTTCAAAGTCAAGAGGAAGAGGACCAACAGCTACTGAGTCCTTTCATATGCCAAATACTTTATTAGCTCATTTCTTATCTCATCTCTTCACAACTCTGTAAAGTATTATTATTTTTATTTCACAGATGAGAAAATTTAATCTAGTAAGTTAAATAACTTGCTAAAGTCATACAAAGGGGTGAAGCCAGGAGTCAAACCTAAGTCTGGCTCCAAAGACCACATTTTACCGTTATGCTAGATTGGAGTTCTCAAACTTTAGATCAGGTGATTAGAGAGCATCAGAATCACCTAGGACTTACTAAAACAGACAGCTGGTCCCCACTCTCATAGCTTCTGATTCAGCAGGTCTGCGGTATAGCCCAAGAACTTGCATCTCTAACAAGTTCCTAGGTGATACTGCTGATGCTGTTGCAGCTCTAGGGGACACATTCCTAGAAACAACGCCATATAGTCATTCAGCTATTAAGTGCCTGATGTATGCCAGGTGCAGAGGATACCACATTTTAAATCCTAGGAAATAGTGGAAAGTAAAATCCATATCCATGTCTTCATGAATCTTACATTTTTTTGTGGTACTAGTGTTTGGCCTCAGGGCCAAGCACTCTATCACTTGAGTCATACCCCCCCGCCCTTTTTGCTTTGGTTGTTTTTTGAATAGGGTCTTGCATTAGATCTGCAGATCCAATCCTCCTATTTATGCTTCCTAAGTAGCTGGGATGACAGGCACCAGATTTTACTGGTTCAGGTGGGGTCTTGCTAACTTTTTGCTAAGGCTGGCCTCAAACCACAATCGACTTGATTTCCACCTTCCAAGTAAATAGCATTGCAGGAGTGAGCCACTGCACCCAGCCGCATCTTCCATTCTTGTGAGAGAAACTGACAGCAAACAAATGTTAAAAAATTATATAATGCCAGGTAATAAGGATTATGATGAAAAACAAAACAGGGCATATAAGCAGGTAGGGAATAAAACTCTTGATAGTACGGACAGGTAAGACCTTTCTGAAATGATACTGGAACAGAGAACCTAATGAAGTGAAGGAGTGAGCGAACTATGAGTTTCCTGGAGGAAAATCATTTCAGGCAGAGGCAATGAACATCAAGAAGGCGCTGTAACAATGGAATTTTATGCAGCCATGAAGAAGAACGAAATGTTATCATTCGCTGGTAAATGGATGGAATTGGAGAACATCATTCTGAGTGAGGTTAGCCTGGCTCAAAAAACCAAAAATGAAAATCATTTCAGGCAGAGGCAATGAACATCAAGAAGGCGCTGTAACAATGGAATTTTATGCAGCCATGAAGAAGAACGAAATGTTATCATTCGCTGGTAAATGGATGGAATTGGAGAACATCATTCTGAGTGAGGTTAGCCTGGCTCAAAAGACCAAAAATCGTATGTTCTCCCTCATATGTGGACATTTAGATCAAGGGCAAACACAACAAGGGGATTGACTAATGAGCACATGATAAAGCGAGAGCACACAAGGGAGGGGTGAGGATAGGTAAGACACCTAAAAAACTAGCTAGCATTTGTTGCCCTTAACGCGGAGAAACTAAAGCAGATACCTTAAAAGCAACTGAGGCCAATAGGAAAAGGGGAACAGGTACTAGAGAAAAGGTTAGATCAAAAAGAATTAACCTAGAAGGTAACACCCACGCACAGGAAATCAATGTGAGTCAATGCCCTGTATAGCTATCCTTATCTCAACCAGCAAAAACCCTTGTTCCTTCCTATTATTGCTTATACTCTCTCTACAACAAAATTAGAAATAACGGGCAAAATAGTTTCTGCTGGGTATTGGGGGGGGGAGAGGGAGGGGCGGAGTGGGTGGTAAGGGAGGGGTGGGGGCAGGGGAGAAATGAACCAAAGCCTTGTATGCACATATGAATAATAAAAGAAAAATGAAAAAAAAAAAAAGAAGGCGCTGTAAGCTAAGCGGCAGTGGCTCACACCTGTGATACTAGCTACTCAAGAGGATCATGGTTCCAAGCCAGTACCAGGCGAATAGTTCATGGGACCCTATCTTGAAAATATCTAACACAAAACATAGGGCTGGCAGAGTGGCCCAAGTGGGAGAGTGCCTGCCTAACATGAAGCCCTAAATTCAAACTCCAGTACTGCAAAAAAAAAAAAAAAAAAAGGGGGGGCCCACTGTAACAAGTGGCCATGTTATGCACATCACTGGAAATTGCACTTTGACTATTAGTCTGAGTGTTTCAAGAGAATACTAGGATGCTACCAAAGTCCTGCATTTTTATGACTATGAAGGTCTTACCTATTATATAGTACGGTTCTTGCAGAAGATTCCAGTAAAGTTAATGGCATTTGCAGCTTTATAATTGGAAGGACTTTTGGTTGTTCAAAAGTATTTCCAAAAAGATCTAAGTACTCAAGGGATAAACTTTTAAATTCACTAGGCAAAAATGGAAGCTTATTTCGAGCTGCTGACAAAAAACGAAGGTTTTTTAATTGGCCTATCTTGAAAGGAAACTGAATCAATTCATTATCATCAAGTTTTAAATCTGTAAGTTCTTGGAGCTGGCAAAACTGCACAGGGAGTGCCTTAATTTTGTTCTTGCTGAGATCCAAACTTCGAAGTGACTTCTGGAGTGTAGACTGACACAAAGCCACACTAAATGACTGCAAGTGATTGTCATTTAGGTTAAGTTCTTGAAGATGTATGAGGTCTCCAATTATAGCTGGAAGCTTTTTTATATGATTGTGACTCAAGTCTAATTTCTTAAGGTTTTTCAAGTAAAGCATACGTGTATCAACTCGGACAAGCCCACAATAAGAAGCCTGAAGATGTTCCAGAGAATATGGAAAACTCTTGTTTAGAGGATAGTTGTTCTTGGATGTGATGACCATTTTGGTTTTAAAATTTTCAAATTCTGAAGTCTTCACTGGTGTGAATGTTGATAGTGGTGTGTTAACATCACAGCCTCGATGAGCCAGTCTCACAGCTGAAAGGAAACCCTTTAAACTGCTGGAATTGGCCTAAATAAATAAAAATTAGGTAATGTAATTATAAATTCCACTTTAGATATGCATATATGCTAGTTCTTCCCATAAAAATTCTAGTTATATGAAAGTGATATAATCATCTATTGAAATTGACTGTAAAACATTTTTTTACTATTTCATTTGACCTAAATTTTAACTTTGAAAGTTTTTAACTGGGTGCTGGGTACTCAAGAGGCAGAGATTAGGAAGCTCAGGGTGCTAGATTACCCCTAGCAAATAGTTCGCCAGTCCCTACCTCCAAAATATCCAATACAAAAAAGGGCTGGATGGAGTGGCTAAAGTGGTAGAGCACCTGCTGTGAGGCCCTGACTTCAAATCCCAATACCACCAAAAAAATTAAAATAAATAAATAAATAATAAGTACCAAACAAGCAATAAAGTGCTAGAAAATGAAGAGAGATTGGTCTTAGCTGGTGAGAAAGAAAAACTGCTAGAACTGGCAGATAAGGTGGCATTTGAATTAAATCATCAACAAATACAGCTAACATTCATAGGACACTTCAGAAGTTCCCTTATGTTTATAAGTGAAGGATGAGTGAACTTTCAGGAAGTTTGGGAAAGTAAGTATGCAGTACTCTTTTGATAAAAGGTAAAAGTTACATAGAACAGTAAAAGACTGGAAATAGACTGTGAATGAGCTTGGATGTGAAGGAAGGATCAGGCATGTGGGAAATCACTGGAGTATTTTGAGCATGAAAATTACATGTCAAGAGCTAAAAATTATTTTGGCAGCTGTATACACAATGACCAGGAGTGGAGAATGTCTGGAGACCTGTGTCAAATAGGTACAGTAGAGGAAACTGTTTTATAGATCCACAATAATTGTTAAGTGTGGGAATGGAAAGCAGTTATGGTACAGAACAGGCAGAAGACTGAAATAAATCCTTTATTTTGGGGATAAAACAAAGGTTGCTAGAGATAGGAGATAAAGGAATGTCCGAGAAACCAGTGTAGCATCCTATCACAGATGCCAAGAAAGGAACAAGTTTTATTAAAAACATGGTGGTCACTGGTGTCAAATTCTACAGAGTTCAAAAAGGACAAGAAATAGTGCCCATGTGATTGGCAAATAAGAAGGTGATCACTGATCTCTGAGGCAGTGTTTTGAATAACCAATAAAGGTCAAAACAGTAAGAAACTGGAAGCAACCAATTCAATCTTGCCTGTCCAGAAATTTGTCTATTTCTTTTATTCTTTAAATTGGTAAGACCTCAGTTTGATTTTAAATAAAAAGGAGGAGCTAATGAAGAACTGAGGATCAAGAGAAAAATGAAAATCACAAGGAGGCAGGACAAATTATTTCATTCCTTCCTGACTCCTTAAATATGTAGTTATTAAAGTATCAGTGTTTGCAAAGCACTTTGCTTGGGACTAAGAATAATACAAATTTTGGGGCTGGGGATGTAGTTCAGTGGTAGAGTGCATGCTCAGCATACTAGAGGCCCTGGGTTTGATGCCCTGCATTGCTGAGAGAGAGGAGGAAGATACAAAATTGAATAAGATATTGCTCCTACTCTCTTTGAAGAGGAAAGAGCATAGGAAAGTCTTTAAAATTTTTTAAATGATTTATGCATTTCAAAAAGTGATTAAATAAAATTTAATCTCATTGCATTTTACATCTCTTTTACACCAAATTTGTAACATGAGAACTGGCTGGTGTGCTGGAGGTGTGGCTCAAGCAGTGGAGCACCTGCCTAGCAATCACGAAATTCTGATTACAAACTTCAGTACCTCCAAAAACTAAAAAATAATAATAAAATAAAGGTAATGAGTATTGGTTGGTAGAATATAGACCTGTGCCCCTTGTTATACAGAGTTCCAATCTAAGAACACTGTAAGGTTTCATCGGGAGCACAAAAACAAACCTAGTCTTCCTCCCCATTTTGGGAGTCTCACTAAGGCAGCTTCCACTCTTTAAGAAAGGCACAAAAGCCTATCTAGGATTCTGCCTCTGGTGCCATTGCCTCTTTAACAGACTTGTAAGGTCCGTCCCTTTTCAGCTATGTGAGATATCAGGAAGCTTGAACAGCTTTCTTGGTTTGTTTTTTTTTAAAGAAAACACAGCTAAGCAACCTAGCCATTACTGTTTTTAATACCATACCTTACTTATACAGATATCCACAGGCGGTTCCTTTAACCGGACAGTGGCTTTCCCTTCATCCACAAATTTGGTGAAGAACTGCTCAATGTTCTCCTTTAGCTGCTTAAAAACACCAGGAAAAAAAAGGACAACACTAGGTATTATTATTCAATCACATTATAACTAAAATGTGCCAGTCACTTCCCAAGCTTTGGTTTGGCTCTTGGTCCTAAAGACTAAGTGTTTTAAAATTTTTTAAAAAACTAAAAATTTTTTAAAATAATTTTTGAAGCCTGGTACCAGTGACTCATGTCTATAATCCAAGCTGCTTGGGAAATAGAGATCAGGAGGATCACAGTTTGAAGTCAGCACAGGCAAATAGTTGGCAAAATCCTTTCTCAACATACCCAACACAAGACAGAGCTGGCAAAGTAGCTTTTTTTTTTTTTTCTGAGACAGGTTCTCCTTAAGTAGGCCAGGCTGGCTTTGAACTTTTGATCCTCCTGCCTCAGCTGTCCCAGTGCTGGAATTAGAGATATGTGCCACCATGCCTGGCTAAGAGTGTTTTATAGTTGTAAAGTTTTTTATTATTTTTTTAACCAGTTGTGTAGTTATACACCTTCCATCTAACTTGTGGTGGATGTTACTACTATCTATTCAGGCTCTCTCCTTTCTTAAGCATAGAATCCTCCATGTTTTTGAAGAATGACCCTCTTTTCCCATGGCTACAGTAAGAATTGCAGGTAGCAATTTCTTACTTGCTTTCATAATCACAGCCCATTCATTAATCTGGGGTAGACATGCTGTCCACTAGATTATGCATAAACTCCATGAAAACAGAAATCTTGTCGTGTTTACTACTGTATCTCTAGAGGTAGACACATGACAGGTGCTCAAAATTTTTTCAGAACTGATGTTGCTTATACTTTTGGCTTCAACAGCTATTTATTGAGAAGCCACTATGTACAGGTACTGTGATAGGGGCCTGGGACATAGTAGTGAATATACCAGCATGCTAACTACACTTAGAGTTGACAATCTGATGAAAGAGACAGTTATTAGACAAGTAATTAGAAGCATAACAAATATTAAGAGAAGTTCAGGATGCTATAACCTAGGCAAGGGAATCTTACCTGACCTAGCAGTAGGAAGGTGAATTTAAAGCTGAGAATCAAAAAATTAGGGAAATGTTGAGTGATGATGGAGGGGAGATGGATGGGATACCATCCATCTATCCAGGGAACGAAGGAAAACCCATGAGGGAAGGGAGAGCTTAGCAACTGTGAAGAGATGAAAGATGAAAGAGTTCAGAGAAAAGGCTCAGATAAAAGCAGAATATGGAAAGGTAAACAGAGATTAGACCATGAAAGATGCTGCTGTAATCTGTATAAGAATTCTGAGCCTGGCACTATTCACAATAGCCAAGTTATGGAAACAGCCAAGATGCCCCAGCACTGACGAATGGATTAAGAAAATGTGGTAAACACAATGGAATTTTATGCAGCCATGAAGAAGAACGAAATGTTATCATTCGCTGGTAAATGGATGGAATTGGAGAACATCATTCTGAGTGAGGTTAGCCTGGCTCAAAAGACCAAAAATCGTATGTTCTCCCTCATATGTGGACATTAGATAAAGGGCAAACACAACAAGGGGATTGGACTATGAGCACATGATAAAAGCGAGAGCACACAAGGGAGGGGTGAGGATAGGTAAGACACCTAAAAAACTAGCTAGCATTTGTTGCCCTTAATGCAGAGAAACTAAAGCAGATACCTTAAAGCAACTGGGGCCAATAGGAAAAGGGGACCAGGAACTAGAGAAAAGGTTAGATCAAAAAGAATTAACCTAGAAGGTAACACCCACGCACAGGAAATCAATGTGAGTCAATGCCCTGTATAGCTATCCTTATCTCAACCAGCAAAACCCCTTGTTCCTTCCTATTATTGCTTATACTCTCTCTACAACAAAATTAGAGATAAAGGCAAAATAGTTTCTGCTGGGTATTGAGGGGGGGGAGCGGGAGGGGGGTGGAGTGGGTGGTAAGGGAGGGGGTGGGGGCAGGGGGGAGAAATGAACCAAGCCTTGTATGCACATATGAATAATAAAAGAAAAATGAAAAAAAAAAAAAAAAAAAAAAAAAAAGAATTCTGAGCCTGGGGGGAGGGAGAAGGGGACACAGGGCAGGCAGGAGAGGTGGCCCAAACAATATACACACATATGAATAAATGTATAAATAATTTTTAAAAATTACTCTGGATAAAATAAAAAAAAAAAAAAAAAAGAAGAAAAAAGAAGAATTCTGAGCCTGGCCAGGGGCTCATACTGTAATCCTAGCAACTCAGGAGGAAGCAATCAGGAGGATCAAGGTTTGAAGCAAACCTGGGGCAAATAGTTCTTGAGACCCTATCTCAAAAACACTCATCACAAAAAAGGGCTAGCAGAGTGGCTCAAGCAGTAAGAGGATCTGCTTAGCAAGCATGAAGTCCTGAGTTCAAACCTCAGTGCTGCCAAAGGAAAAAAAGAAACAGAATTCTGGATTTTATACTAATAACAATAAAAGTCATGGAAGGATTTTAAGCTAGGAAACATGACAGCACATGCATTTAAAAAAAGTTTTGACCTCGCTTCTCCTCTCCCAGCCGAGGCCCGGGGGACCCCAGCGAGAAGCGGGAATCATGTTCAGATGCAAGCTGACGGCTCTAGACTACCACAACCCTGCCGGCTTCAACTGAAACAGAATTTAGAAACTTTATTGTTTGGCTGAAGACCAGAAAATCAGACACTACAAGACTGAAGACAGAGGTAACTTAAGAAACATCCACAGCAGTGACTGGCCCAAGTTCTTTGAAAAGTATCTCAGAGATGTGAACTGTCCTTTCAAGATTCAGGATGACAAGAAGTGATTGACTGGCTTCTTGGTTTAGTGGTTAGACTTAAATATGGAGATAATGCTGAAAAATACAAGGACTTAGTACCTGATAACGCAAAAAGTACTGACAATTCAACTAAAAATGCAGAACCATTGATCAATTTGGATGTAAATAATCCTGATTTTAAGGCTGGTGTAATGGCTTTAGCTAACCTTCTTCAGATTCAGCGTCATGATGATTACCTGGTAATGCTAAAGGCAATTCGCATTTTGGTTCAGGAGCGCCTAACATAGGATGCAGTTGCTAAAGCAAATCAAACAAAAGAGGGCTTGCCTGTTGCTTTAGACAAGCATATTCTTGGTTTTGACACAGGAGATGCAGTTCTTAATGAAGCTGCCCAAATTCTGCGATTGCTGCATATAGAAGAGCTTAGAGAGCTACAGACAAAAATTAATGAAGCCTAGTAGCTGTTCAGGCCATTATTGCTGATCCAAAGACAGACCACAGACTAGGGAAAGTTGGATGATGAGCGCTGCAGGATGTCAACTTCTTACCTACTTAGTATAAACAGGAACCATGTACCCTTCTGGCATGTGTTTGGAAATCAAATGTCACATTTTCAAGGGAGGAATCCCAGGAAATTGACTGTGTTCTAGAGATTTAACTACAACTGCTGTTTTCTTTTAATAAAGTTTGGGAAAGTGGAATTTTCTTTTCACTAAAAAAATTAATTAATTAATTAATTAATAACGTTTTTTAAAACTGCAGTGTAAAGCCACAGCTCTGAGGGAGAAGGGGATGAGATAGGATAGGGAATGGACAGCAGTAGAAACAGACACCTCTTAATAGACAGGAAAGGGATGGTTTAGACTATAGCTGGAATGAAAGGAACTATACACTATGAATACTAAGAAGGCAGAATCAAAAGGATTCAATGATATATTGGAAGGCAAAGGCTTTAAAGTTTCTGAATGGGGGCGCTATTTAATGAGTTGCAGAACAATGACAGAAAGGCAGGTTTGGGGTGGCAAAGAAAATTTCTAGATATTTTGAATTTGAAATGCTGCAACATATCCAAATTAAGGTTTCCAGTAGGGAGTAGATTCAAGTACCAAGTTAAGGGAAAGGACTAGATAAGACTCAGATTTAGGTGTCAGAAGGATGGTAGCTCAAGCGATGAGGCAGAAAAGTAAAGCGTGTAAGAGCCTCAAGGTACTTCAGACACATAACACCAATACCAATTCTTCAAGGCCCAGATCTAGTACCACCTTAATTCATTCAGCCAGTGTTTGCTGAGCGCCTACTATGTCCTGAGTACTGTGGAACCGCATCTAGAATTCATCTCGTTTTTGATATTCTATTAATAGCACTTACCATAGCTCATCTTGTATTATAAGTTGTGGTTTCTTTCTGTCCCTTCCTACTCTCTGAAGGACAGTGACTAAATCAAGTTTCTTATCTCCCAGTGTCTAGCATTGCACGCTGCACACAGTAAATTCTCAACTCGAGGTTCATAATAAATTTTGGTGGGATTCTCAGCAGCTAAGGTCTATTAATGCAGAAGTTTGAAGAAGGAAGAGAGCATCACGGGCAAGAAAGAAGTCACGTTTGAGGAAGACAATAACGGAGAAAAGGGAGGCCAATTCTAGTTAGAAGTTACCTTCTAACAGTTCTCTAATCTATAACATGTGGAGTGATTTCTAAAGTTCTTCAATTCAAACAATTACATGAACGTATACATGAACAGAGGGAAATACAGACTTCCAATTACTTAAATCAAACATAGGTGGTTCTGAACGAAACAGCAGTACTCTTTTCCATCAACTAGGTATTCACAGTAGAATATAACGTGAAAAGGAAATAATCCCAGAAACTGTATAAAACTCAATCAAAAGTTAGATGCAAGGGTGGGTGACGAATTGTTCCCTCACCTTTACTTACAGTAGACACAAAGATATTTTATTCGAACAAAATAACAAGTGCCAGGTAACGGAGGGAAAGGGATTACGTAAGCCTTGTGTTAAATAAAAAGAAAAAGAGCAGAAAAGCTCGGGACACTCTGTGGGAGAAACAAGTGAAAATTCAGTTACTTCCCCAAATTAGGCAGATATTTCGCTTGCAGTTGTTTCTCGCAGGCTGAAAAGTTCGAGGGTTCAAAAGGGCGGAGCTGCCTCTACCTCTGAACAGCAACACTGTAAATTCAGAGCTGCAGAACTGCACAAGGAAAGTAACCAAAGGTGAAGTCGCAAGAGTTTCCTTGGCTCTCAGGACCCTAAGGCCAGAATTTGGGGGACCTGGGTCCAACGCTCAGGAATCCCCACGGCTGACTTCAGCCTCAGAAACATCCGGGCGGCCGGTTTTTCGGTCCGGGGAGGAGCTCGCAGCTGAGTCCCCTGGCCCTGTCTGCTCGTCCCGCGTACCTCGTAGCGGGTCCCGCGCTTGTCCTTCATGGTGGAGATGAGCAGGCAGGCGGGCCGCAGCTGACTCCTGGGCGACTGCTGACAAAGGCTCAACACGGTCCGGATGCCCTTGCCCCTGTTCCTCAGCCCCAAGGTTGGTAAGTGCCGGCTGACCACCTCCACCTCGCAGTGCAGCTTCATCCCGCCGCAGGCGCAGCAACCAAGCCACTTGCCTTTGAAACTGTCTCCGTCCCGCCGCCCCGCGCCGCCGCCGGGGTCCTCGGACGGGCAGGCTGCCCGCGGATCTGCCTGCCTGGACGTGCTAGCGGCGGGGGCTTTTTGAGTCCCGTGGGAGACCGCGTGCCCTCTCCTTGCGGGGCCGACCCCAGGCTGTGGCCACGGGCAGGCGGGGAGCGCACCCTTATCGCCTGAGGGTCAGACTCAAGCCCTTCGAAACCGGCGGTCGACGAAGGCGCCTCGTCTTCTCCCCCAGAGCGCGCCGCTGGCGGCGGTGGATGTTACTGTTTGCGGTAGATTGGGAATTTCCGCCGTTGGTGCTCAACGTGGGTCAAGCACAAGTTTCACGAGGTGTCACTGAGTTTACAGGAGAAGGCACTAGGAACGTTGGGAGTTGCCCCATAAGCCAGCGAGGGCGCGGCGTTTCCTGACCAGGGCGGCTGGCGTGTTGTTTTTGGTGTTCCTCTCGGTTCTGGAGACAACACCTGTCAAGTCAGAGCGGAGCCAAAGATGACAATACTGAACTTGGCGATTCCTGTTGAATCAATGTGACTTTGCAAGGCGGGTGGGCTGGATGGAGTGACTGGCTTAACTGCATCTGAGGCGTGGAATGACCGACCAGACCCCGCGTGCCCTCGGGTTCCTTGGTCGGTTTTATGGAGCCAGGGCGGGGGCGCGGCGGGGCGCTGGCTCTCAAGATCACGGACTTGACGTCTTAAATTGTGCCCTGGGAGCCCCCCCTGGCCTTAACCGAGTTGCGGCTTTGTAGTAAACTTTTTATTTGTATTACACTTTATTGTGAAATACCAATTTTCAATTCAAGTGTGACAAAATTATAATTTATCCTTCAGTGAACGTCTCTGTTTACATATAACGTGTTGAACCTTATGTCTGTCGGATTCTGAAAAAAACGTAGAGTTAAGGAAAAACAGTGATTAAGATAATAAATTGCCACCTCCCCCATCCATCCCTCTTTAGTATTTTGGCATGTACGTCTCAGAGCACTAAAATACAACAGCGTTTTAATTTCATGGCTATAGAGAAAAACTACACTCTACAATTTTCAAAGACTTAGGTTTTGTATGGCTTAAGTATTTTTGTTCTTTGAGTGAATAATATAGAAGAAAATAATATAAAACACCAGTATTACCAGTACATTAAATATACTCAACCTCCACATACAGTTGGGAGCTAGGAAAATCTAAAATCTTGTTTAAAAAAAAAACAAACTAACTTTAATTCAGTAGAGTAGAAATGCACAAAATCAAGAATACAAAAAAAGTCTCAGTGCTTTATTTGGTATTATGTTGATGCACAGATTTAGTAAATAAATGCTAAATAACCTAAATATATGATCTATATATGCATTTTTATATATGATTTATATATATGTACACACATATATGTATACACACACACACTTTTTTTTCTAAGTACTAGAGATCAAACCTGTGGCCTCACACATACTAGACAAGCACCCTACCACTGATCTATACTTCCAGCTCCCTAAGTATTTTAAATAAGATTATCTATTAAGTAAAATTAAATAATATTTGGAAGTAAACATACATAGGTTTGGGGGACTTCATCCTCTTTTCCCCCATTCTCCCCTTAGTCCACTCAGTCCACTTGTTTTGGCAGTACTGAGGTTGAATTCAGGGCCTTGCTGCTGGCAAGACAGGTGCATAACCATTTGAGCTGTACCTTAGCCCCAGTCCACTTTTTTTTGTTGTTGTTTTGATTTGTTTTTTATTCATTTATTCACATGTGCATACATTGTTTGGGTCATTTCTCCACCCTGTCCCTCCTCCCACCCTCTCCCCCAGTCCACTGTTTTTATGGTTGAAATACTTGGATCTAACATTCTAGAGTGCACACAAAAGTTTTGGTCTTAATGGACTGTTTATGAAACAAAAGATCCTTTGAACACCTATTCACACTTATCATGCAAATAAAATCTGCCCTTTGATCAATCCTCATCTCAAACTAGATTCTGTTGAAGACTGTCTGAAATAGAAAAACACAGGAAGTTTAAAATTGAGTTACATGGTTTTTTTTGCAAAAGAAATAAAATAATGTAGATTTGTTTTCCTTTTGTAAAATTAGTTTCTCTTCTTCCTGGCCTTCCATACTTGCTGTTTACACTAATTAATCCTAATTATTTTTTCATACTGGGGATTGAGTTTAAGACCTGGCAAATGCTCTACCACTGAGCTACATTCCCAACCCTAATCCCACTAATTTTTAAAACCTAGTTCACTTTCCACTAAGCCTTCTTTAGCATCTTCTTTTCCTTCATTTTATCATTTTTACATTTACTTACATGTATATATATGTTTGGGCCACCTCCCCCTTCTCTTCCTTAGCATCTTGATTTTCCTTTTTTCAAAGTACAGTTGTAACTAAAATTACCTTTGATTCTTATTTCCCTGGGCTTCTGGCATATAGTAGGTCTTCAACAAATAGTTAATTTTTTTTTTTTTTTTTTAGTGGTACTGGGGTTTGAACTCAGGGCCTCATGCTTGCCAGGCAGGTGCTCTATTATTTGAGTCACTTCCCCAGCCCAACAAATAGTTAATTGAATCTCTCTAACTTTTCATTTTTGCCCATAGTGATCTTTACTCACTTAGGTTTATAGCTCACTTAGGTTGGAGCTAGTAAGATAAGTGTCACATTAGATTCTTAAAAAACAAGACCATAATCTAAAGACCATGTGGACTGTCTGTCCTATGACACTGGGACCAAACAGTAGAGGAATTTTTTTTTTTTATAATGGTGTTATCTAAGATTCCATAAAGTTAGCTAACAAATACACACCTTAGTGCATTACACCTGACTGCTCCCTTGCTCTCATGACATTCTGATTTTATAGGTTGTGTCTCTACAATGATTTGTAATGAATACATTTCCATTTTTAGTGCTGCCATGTCAGTTCAGAGCTGGATTCTCTCCAGAACTGTTGTTAAACTTATCAAGTCTTCTTGTGTCAATGTATTTATTCATTTATTTAATATTTATGGTGTTCTTGCTGTATGCCATCACACATATGCTGGGTGTTTATGGTGTTTATAGGAAGTAAGCATGATTTTTTCAGTGTTTTGGAGAGACAAGTAAACCAACAATCACACTGCAATGGGATAAGCGTTTGTTAAAGGAGTATAAAATTAGGCAAATGATGAAAACAACTTGTTTGCTAAACTTTCTAAAGTTCAAAGGCCACTTTAGAAAATTCTGGAAAGTCACTGAACAAAATATTACTATATGATTACTTATTTAATGTCTATCTGTACCTCTAGGCTACAAGCTTCTGGGTTCTCAGTCACTAGTGTTACATGCAAGGCCTAGTGTAGTGCTCACATAGAATAGGTTCTCAATGCATATTTGCAGAAAGAATAAGTCAATAGCATATGTTTGAGAACTAAGTATATAAATATATGCTATACATTCATTCAACAAATATTTATGAGAGCCTACATTGTGATAAAATAAAGCAAACTTGCATTCAATTCATGTTGTTTGTGTTAAGTAGCTAGCCTTTGGTGGAGGGGAAGGAAAGCTGGATTTCTCCCTCCGTCTTGGGGAGACAGTGAAATAAATTTTAGATAGATTCAATATTTAAAATAAAAAAAAAAAACAGAAAAGCACAAGGTTTTTCTTTTATGGTGTTGGGAACTGAACCGAGGGCCTCAGGTTTGCTAGAGAGAAATTTTGCCACTGAGCCACATCTCTAGTTCAGACACAGACCTTTCCTAAATAATTTTCACACACATGTATACACACACACACACACACACACACAGAGGAAGAGAGATATTTCATTTTTTTTTCTCTCTGTCTAGAGCTGGGACACTCTTCTCTACTTGAGTCATACCCTTGTCCTAAAATGTTTTTAAGTTGTACCCTTTTGCAACATTATCTAAATACAGGTTTGCTTTCAGGACCAGGTACAGTTTTATTTATCATTAAAAATGATCATATGGGATTTTCATCAGGAAAAAAAAAAGCTTCTGTCGTCAGGGGGAAAAAAACCTGAATAGCCTGTTTAATAAGACAGAAACAAACTCCTATCGTTGGTTCTTCACTATTACAGCTGATTTGAGGTGTTTTACAAGTTTGTCCCAGTAGGTGTCAGTGATGAGTCGAGAAAAAAAATCCTTTTTCAAAGTGTAAAACTTTTAAAGAAGCGCGAAAGGCTGAATCTATAAAGTTAATAAAGACACTATAATAAGACTCACTTTCAAAGTGTGCAAAAGAGACGGGGTCTCACTGTGTTGCCCAGGCTGGAGTACAGTGGCTATTCACAGGCGCGATCCCACTACTGATCAGCACGGGAGTTTTGACCTGCTCCGTTTCCGACCTGGGCCGGTTCACCCCTCCTTAGGCAACCTGGTGGTCCCCCGCTCCCGGGAGGTCACCATATTGATGCCGAACTTAGTGCGGACACCCGATCGGCATAGCGCACTGCAGCCCAGAACTCCTGGACTCAAGCGATCCTCCTGCCTCAGCCTCCCGAGTAGCTAGGACTACAGGCGCGCGCCACCGCGCCCGGCGGGCGGATCCGTGGCAGAAAGCTACTAGAGGCTGACAAGGCATGACGTCATCAACTGTGCCTGCCCTTCGCGTCTGAAAGATTTTTCACCCTAACTGCGGCGTTGCTACAACTGCGCATGCGTCACGTTTCAGTGCTGCATTATGGGTAAGGTGTCTCAAAAAGTTGAAGAGCGCAGGCGTGTCCTGTCTCTTTCCTTTCTTCTCGTTGGACGTTTGAAGGCAAGATGGGTCACCAGCAGCTCTATTGGAGTCACCCGCGAAAATTCGGCCAGGGATCTCGTTCTTGGTGAGAAAAGTATATGTGGTTTTAGGGGAAAGTTGATCTGGATGGCAAGGCTGAAAATCCCAAGTGGAGAGGCCCGCGGGCGGCGTGTGGGGGCAGATCGGGACGTTGCTGCAGCCGCCGCCATTACGGGCCTGTAATGGAGCCGGGTGCGGGTGGTGGCCCTTGAGTATGGAGTCTTGTAATTTTGCTACCTGTACGCAAAGAAAACGTCTCCTGTTTTTACAGCCGCGTCTGCTCGAACCGGCACGGTCTGATCCGGAAGTACGGGCTCAACATGTGCCGGCAGTGTTTCCGTCAGTACGCGAAGGACATCGGCTTCATTAAGGTGCGCGGCGCCGCCATACTGCGTGGTGTGCTGCGGCGCGGAGATGGGCTGTGGGACCGTGGGCGTCAGGCTGCGGCTCCCCTACCGTTCTGTTAGTCCGACTGTTGGTAGCGATGGGTTACACCGTCGAGGGTTTGGGTACTCAGATTAGGAGGAGGAGGGGGAAGGATTTACAAATAGAGCATCTCCAGTTGTACCTGAAACTGTTGGGTATTTACAGGCGTCACTACGGTTAAGTTTCACATCTCTCCCTTTTAAGTACCTAGACGATGTCTAACCAACTGTTGACCCTGATCCGGGGTGCTTGGTGGTGACATACGTTGGACTAAGCTTAGGATTTGGGGCCAGATAGCCCTTGTTAGGATTTCAGACAAGCGTCTGCCTTCTAATAACTTTATGACCTTAATGTTAATGTTTTGTGAAGCTTTCTTGACTGCTAAAAGCTCACTTAAATGCTAGACTTTTTTTTTTTTTTAAAGGTGAAAGCAAACTTAATTTGCTCCTTAAGTCGCCAGCTTCTGATGTAAAATTGCTTTAAATAGGATATTGAGAAGAAGCTACTTGTTGAGATTTGTTGAGAGTAGATGTCTTTGGTAAGATGTGAGATCTCTGGCGTGCAGCATAGTGTCTTTAAAGTTAGGCTTATGGCACTAACCAAATAACATAATCATCTAGTGTTACAGGATTCAAGTTCAAGTAACTGTGGGAACAGATATATCACAATAAGCAAATGGTCGCTGGCCTGCCCCAGCTCTGACCCTGGTTTCTCAGAGGCAAAGATGATTATGTTAGTTACTATTACTAGCCATCTTGAGCATTTGGTAAAGATCATTTTATGGAGTGCTGTTTCCGATGGGGAAATAATTCTTTTGAGAGAAGAATGGGAATACCAGTACTAAAAGTAGTCTAATAGTTGAAATTTGTGAAGTAGCTTGTAGGCATTCACTAGATACTTGAATTAAGATCTCGGTAATTGGTTTTGAAGGGTCATGTTTCAGGTTTAAGCATCATTCTATAATGGGCCCGTTTTGGTGAGAATCAGGTTAGAATTTAAGTGATTAATTTCCCTTTTTTTTTTTCCCTTCTAGTTGGACTAAGTGATCTTCCTTGAATGGATTATCCAAGACCATACCACTCAATGAAAGACTGTATTTGTACGTAAAATAAAAATTTAAAAAGTCGTTCAATTTATGTGTTGTAATGTGATTAGTTAATTGTTTACAGAAATCTTAAAAGTTTTATATAATATAAAAGTATGCTGAACTTCGGTAAATACCAATTTTTGTTTATTTTTTGCAGTACTGAGGTTTGAACTCGGGACCTACACCTTGAGGCACTCCACCAGCCCTTTTTTGTGATGAGGTTTTTTTTCCAGATAGGGTCCCTAGAACTATTTGCCCAGGCTGGCTTTGAACCTTAATTCTCCTGATCTCTGCCTCCTGAGTAACTAGGATTACAGGCATGAACCACTGGTGTCCGTCACCAGTTCTTTTTTTTTTTTTTTTTTGTACTTTGAAAACTTAAGTGAAATGCCTTCTATATACAAGAACATCAAACATAAATGATCTTGACGAGTAAGTGGCTCATTTCAGTGAACTGGTTCAGTGATGTAAAATTGTAGAGAAAAGATGTGGGGAAAGAAGGCTATGACTAAAACCTGCATTCATTTATGACTAAGTAGGTAGGTCAGTGTGTGCAGATGTCTGTTTGCTAAGAGAAGTAAATTTTGGAGCATTTAGATGGGTGGGATTCTGGTTGTATGTGATTAAATATTTGTTTTTAAGGAAAAAAAATCGCCTCTCAGCCTTTTGGCTAAGATCAAGTGTGGTATCTGTTCTTAACAGTTAATATCTTGATAAGTCCTCTATCCGAGGACACTACATTAAATGGATTTTTGGGATTACGAGATGGAATAAGAACTTGCTCTGTCCATTCCAAGCATCGACCTGGTATTGCAGTACCTCCAGGAACGGTGCACCAAAAAAAAAAAAAAAGACTTGCACATTTCACGAATTTATGGGACTAGGGCAGAAAACACAAGATACATGTTGGGTGCTGCAGTTAGAAAAGAAAGCTGTGCCTACATCTGTGTTGAGAGTTTACTAGGCTTAATTAAGTTCACTGCTTAGGTCCCACGAGAAAGAATTCCTAGATGTAGCAAAGTGAGAAATAGGAAGCTAGTCAGAATGTGTAGTGTATTACTCTTGTTGGTAGGCCATGGTTAAATATTTGAGATTAAGAGCTTACATTTGGAGTGATGAGTTCATTTTTAAAGTTCCCTAGCTCTAGTCATTATACTGGTTTTATGGGACAAAGGTGGAGCAGGGAACCAAGGCTATTGCATTAATGTAGGCAAGTGATCTAGGCTAGGTGGGTGAGGATTGGGGTGTTGAGAATGAAGGGGTAATGAGTGATTCCCAAAGTTCTTGACCTAAGCAGATGGAGGACTTGGTGTTGGGACCTGACTGCAGTATAGGTTGTGGGAAGAAAAGTTCAGTTTTGGGTAGTTCAGCTTGAGATGCCTACTAGACATCAAATACAGCTCTCTAGGAGGCATATATAAAAATTCATGTAGGATCCAGAAGAGTTTGGAACTGGAGACAACTTTGGTTGGTCCTGAGTGTTGGTGTGTTGTATTTTCAGGTCTCATTGTATGTCACTGTGATCTAAGCCCTAGAGTCGGAGCAAATATGCATGGAGAAAAGGACTCCTGGGTTACTCCCAATGGTTCAGAGGAGGAAAGATGAGTCTTGCAAAGCCAATGACAGGAAAACCAAGAAATTGGTGAAGTCAAGTGAGGAATCTTTTAGGCAGGGAGTGCTCACTACTACAACATCTGACAGGAAGGAAAGGGTGACAGGGAAGCTACAGTGATTGTATCTTAACTGAGTCTAAATAATCTGCAAATTTGAGGACAGGTGAATGAACACATTGCTAGTGTAGCTCCCAGAGCCTTAGACGAGATTAAGGGCACTGGAGCCTAAATTTCATGAGCTTCATAATAAATCCACCTCTGCTTCTTTGAGTCCCAGTAGCATGTGATAGTAAACTTCAGTTGCTGCTTGAGAGGGGTCTGGGAAGGAGTTACGACATTCAGTCAAGTCCAGAGGTGGAAAGAATACTGGGAGACAATGTTGAGGGCATAGGAGATTTCTGGGAATGGAATGAGCAGGGTATTTCAGGTTTTGAGGATGGAGGAGAACCTGTCAGCTGAGTAAATGTAAAGGAAATTTGGAAGATGAGAAACCCATTTAGCAGTGATTTAGATGTGATGGTCTTAGATGTCTTAGATGAGTTTTACTGTTCTAGCATGGCCCTTTGTAAATTCTGTAAGAGATGTGTAATGCTTTAGGGAACACATGGAAGGAAAAACATCCTAGCCAGTCCCAGCTCTTATAGGTATGTGATGATAGTGGAGGGAAGGCTGGTGTGGATAGGTAGGTCTGGCTTCTCTATCAGGCATGTATAATGCCCAAGAAAAGATTGTTTTAAAAATTGTTATGTGCCAGATCTGTGCTAAGTGCTTAACGTGCCTTTGCCTTTTCAAATGTTAGAATACTTTTCAGTAGATAGGATCCTCATTTACAAAGCTGAGGGAACTGAAGCTTAAAAAGTTAATTTCTCCTGGGTCTCTCCTAAAGAGACAAAACTAGCCAGGTGCCAGTAGCTCATGCCCTTAATCCTAGCTACTCAGGAGGATCACAGTTTGAAGCCAGCCTGAGCAAATTGTTGAGAGACCCTGTCTCGAAAATACCCAACACCAAAAAGGGCTGGTGGAGTGGCTCAAGTGGTAGAGTGCCTTCCTAGCAAGTATGAGGCCCTGAGATCAAACCCTAATACTAACAAAACAAAAAATTTTTGGTCGGTCTGATGTCTATGTTTATGCTCTTAACATCCACAACACACTGTAAAGTTAAAGGACTGTCCTTTGTCTAAGTATCAGTTACTTTAATTTCTCAATTCTGGAGGCTGGGAAGTCTTAAGATCAAGGAACTGCATCTGGGTATGGTGAACAATGTTAACTGATTCGTAGGTGGTTCCTTATTGCTGTCTTTTCGTGGTGGATAGGGCAAATGAGTTTCCTTGGGCCTATTTTGTGAAGGCACTAATTTTAGGAGGGTGGGGCCTTCATGACCTAATTACCTCCCAAAGACTACCTAAAATGGGATCAAAGTCAACATATGAATGAGGGGTGAGGCAAGCATTTAGAACATAGCACCTCCTTTAATAAAACTCAGGTTTAATCCATTTTACAATTGAGGGTGACTGAGGCACAAAGAATAATTTTCCCAAGATTGTACAACCTTGTAAGATTTGTAAGATTCAAACCAAGTAGTATCTTCAAAATTGCACTTACCATTAAACTATAAATGTCCAACAGTGAGGGAAAGTTCTAGTGAATATTGGTAGAATATAAGACTATTTTTCAATAAAAAGTGGATATTTATATATGTGATAGTTTCACTCTGCTAAAAAAGAGGTACACAGGGAAAAAATTTTTAACCAGTGCTTGCTTTTGAGTGATAGAATTGAGCTTGATTATTTGATTTGAAGCAGTGTCAGATGAAGACTCCTTTAGGGATGGGTATCCACTGATGCAGTATATAGGATCCCTGGTACCAATGTTGCCAGTTAGGCTTTTGCTCCTCCCAAGCCAGCTCATCCTAGTTTTAGATTCCTCTGGCAATAAGTTCTTTGTTTGTGTTGCTATGATTTCCTGAGTTGCCTCCTATTGACATTAATTTTATGTAAAGCAAGTCTGATGTCTTCTCTGCAGGAGAAAGGGTGAAATATTTAGAGGTGAGGGCTCTCTGGTTTTTCTAAAATTTTCTTATGAGGATAATTATTCCTGTTCTCAACTGCTCTTCTAGACATGTTAATTTCACTTTAGATGGATAGAATCTGACATAGCACGCTTCACAGGATAGCCATGCAAGAAAAATTATCCCCGAGTGACTGAGCAAGCATACTTAGCAATGGCTTTAATTTGGTTGGGCATCCTTTTTTTGCTTTTTTTGGAGTTTTTTACCATTATAGAAAGACCAGAGAACTTGGCCCTCAGGCAGCAGCAGTCTGCATTGGGTAATGCCTCCTACAGTTCAAAGCAGTTAGCTTTGCACAACCTCTGCCTAGGAGATAGTTCTTGTTGAAAACTATCTCCAATAGTAATTGGTGCCTTAGAGATTTGGGTCTTTGGATAGGCAGAGCAAAAGCTTTTCTGTTGGTATGACTAAAAAGGGTGTAACAAAGTTCTTAATTTCCTCACTATCACACAGGTTGAGAAAAGGAGAGGAAGATGAGCTATTAGGCATTGTGCAAGTGTTAGTCTTGGATATACAAGGCTTAGTTTGTTGGTGCACTGAGTATATGTGTGTGTAGGAATCAAAGCTATGTTGAGGCCAAATACTAAATTATTAGCTTCAATTATTTTATTTTTTTAGACACCCAAACCTTTTATTGGGGGGCATGGCATCTGGAGGTGGGCCCAGGGGACACTCACCCTCACTGTACAGCTTGTTCATTGGTGCTGCCTCCAGAATCCTGAGGCTTCATCACATCTGGAAGCTCTGGTGGACTGGAGAAGGGCTCGATGCGCAGGGCCTCAAAGGCGTCCTCTGCACGAAAGGCCAGGCCCACTGCGGCCGTGCTGTTTGGCTGGTGAAGACACACGCGCCCAGTGTGCTCCCGTCATCTAGAAGCTGGTCGTCCTTGTACAGCCGCTGGTCGTCTGATGGCCACTTGAGGATGCCCTTAACGATGCGCTTCAGCTCGGACACGGTGCTCAACTCCTTGGCATCCGGGAAGATGGTCTTGTGGCGCCGGATCGTGAGGAACGTGTCCTGGGACTGCGGACCCGTGTCAGCGTCCCGCCACCACCCCCGGACCCGCCTGGCCTCCCCTCCCCCTGCCTCAATTATTTTATTTTTGAATCATCATAAATTAAAGCTACTAGGGGATTTTATTTGTGCTAGTTTTAGGTGTTCTCTGTCTTTTTAGAGTTTTAAAACTAAATATGAAATGACAAGCTTAATTTAGATGTGCTAATTATCATTTAGTCTTGAGCTTAAATTCCCTTGGTTAATTAGAAAATCTTTTTTAAAAGCCAGAACTTTTTTTGTTTATTGAAAATTCTTTTGTTAAATTCAGCTTATCTGTATCATTGGTGACCACTCCCGTTGACTACAGA